AAACTCATCGCATTCTCCGGTCTTTCACAAGTCATTATCACTATACATTCGAGTTCTTCCCGCTGGCTCATACCATCCCAGACTGTTGATTCCCGACTATACATCTACCAGAAACTCAAAAGACTACAAAGACTTTCCGCTCTTTTCAATTTTTGATTCCCTTCTTACCGATCTCCAGGTCTCGATTATCAAATACGCACTTCCCCCATCACGAGTAATGCATTTTTTATTTATGAAGATCTTACCAAATTCATCAAACTTGATATTCCAACTTACCCTGAACCTGCAAATCTTGCCTGATCCCGATCTGTAGCTCAAACGATTATCCCAACTTCTCAACTCTTCAACAAACACTGAAGTCCTCCGAGAATACAAGAAATTTTCAGATCCAAAAGTACAAAAAAGACCCAAAATATAAGTTTTTCACCCCGATACCCGGTCATGACGTGATTTTTCCTCGTTACTTTTATAATACTAACAAAACGCAACAATTCAATTTCGGTGAGAAGTATTCCAGATAGGTACCAACCACCCATCAAGTCACATCTATCTGCACGAGCACGATACTTTACTCATAACTTATCAACAGCTTTTTCCTATGTAAAATTACATCGTAGACGGCTCCATCAACTTGACTAATATCAGAAATTTAGCTCTAGTTATCATAGACATCAAGCATAGCATCTTGACTTTTTAAATCTTTCAAATAGACATCGATATTCCGCATTTAATATAAATCTCACGGCATTCTTAGTATTCAATTCAATTCAAGAAATATCCCGAACTTGAAGAAATTTCTACTATTCTCGAGAGTGTGTGGATCAGCGGTAAGTGACTGACTCGAGTATTGATATTAAAGAGATCATCTTCGAAATCACAGACGAATCAATTTATTTAATACTTTGAATATGAATATGAATATGATAACACACACAAACAATAAAAAAAACTAGTATAGTATTTGAGGTATGTATCTGTCACAGAAAAGATGAATTCACAATTTTCCAAAAAATTTCCCAACATCCCAAACATTCGAAGGCCCGGAGTATGAATTTCAGCCAGAATAAGAATCAGTAAAATTCCGTAGAGATCGCACACTAGTTATTTCCAGGATCAATTAATCAATCGGGATTATCGAATCCAGAAAAGCCGCCGTCGAGTGAAAAGAGGAAGATTGGACTCTATATTCTAGAGTTGACGTAGTTACTTACTTGCCGGTTCATGCAATGGACAGGAAAGATATGAAAGATTGGCACAGCAGGTATGGGCGGAAGGCGCGATGACCATCATAAAAGAAAGTGATAAATTCACATATAAATAAGTCAAGTCAAAAATCAATACTACTGTAAGAAAGAATTTTTTTCTCTCGATAGATACAAAGACATCTTTATCTTTGTCTATATGAATTTAATAAATTTGATACTTGAACGATGAAAAAATATTTACTTCAAGGGATTATTAGATCTTTATTTCAAGCTAAGCTAAGCTACTTGAGCTGTTGTTCGTGATATTAGAGAATTATTGACTTCAAAGGATATGATATAATAGAATAGAATAGGATAGGATAGGATGGAATATGAATCATAAACGTACATTTGTAAGATTACCGAAAAATCTATCAAGAAGTAATCAAGATTATAAAGAGTTATTTACAATTCTACCGGAACGCCAATGTACTTCCATGTACCTAGCCTACAATCAGATAAAACCCCCCCAAACTCCATCATGAAAGACACCTCACATTCCAACTCCCAAATGACACCTACCCAATCAACTCCCTACCACCCCAGCTAAATCCCTACCTCCTCCCCTTACTCCTCTCCCTAACCCCCTCTTCCAACCTCCTAACTCCCTTCAACAACCCCATCCCCTTCTCACAATTCGCCTCCAACCAGCTCTCCATCTCCTCCCTCATAACCCTCATTCCTCTAATAACCGGCATTCTTCCACCTTCCTCACCATCCACATAACCTTGAGGATTCAACAATAAATCAAAGACGCCTGCCCAAATTTCCGTTTGCCAGTATCTCTTCAATCCCTCTTTAATTTTCCATTTGCGTAAACCACCACCGATTCCTCCACCTATTCCACCAATAGCGTCGCTAGATCCACCATTCGGTCTCTCAGCGATGGTATCTATATATTTTCCAAAAAGCATCGAATGGATAATACCAGCTAATCCATGATAATCGATTTGATAAGTCCAAGGTCTCAATTCTCTCATCTCCGCGCAATCCTGAGGACTTGTTTTCCAATCCGCAATAAATTGTACTTCTGGTTTGAAACATTTCATATCAATTCCTCTCCCAAAATCAATTAGCGAAATCCCCTTTTTATTCCAACACCCGCTACCATCCCTCTTATATTTTGGACTCCAAACATCGTCATCTGAAAGTGTGTCGAAGCGTACGAGACAATTATCTGCTTTAAGATCGCCATGAAGGATTCCTTTAGAATGGAGAGCTTCGATTGTTCGGAAAAGTTCGATGGTAAAGAACATGACGAGGAGTTCGTCCATGACACCTCCTGGAGATTTGGCATCTGCACGGGAGATGTTGATGAGATCAAGAAGAGTACCTTGATCTCTGTATTCTTCTATCAGGTAGCATTCATCTCTGTAAAGATGCATTTCATATGCATCGATGATACTTTCTGCTGGACGAGAAACCCCTAATCTACGTTTTGCTTGACGCATAATGTAGAACTCCCATGCACTTGGTGGATCTTCCATTTTAAGTGCTTCTAATGACTTGCGGTTAAAATGATCGAAAGCTCCTTTACCCATGACTGCTGGGGTTTCGTTCTCGTCTTGCTCGTCATCGTTTGTTGCACTTTTGAGGAGGAATACAGGAGCGAACGCACCAGCACCAAGCTCTCGCTTTAGTGTATAATGTCTATCTGTACCGGGAAATTCCAGGACCGGCGCTGCAGAGATACTTGTTCTGTCGCTTGAACCTTTTGCTTTTGAGACAGCTTTAGCATACTTCTTCAACTCCGCTGACTGACCTCTTGCTTCGTCATGCTGAAAGAAACCCTCGTAAGAGCTAAGTGGTGGTTGTAACTTTTCGAAGATTAATTGACGGATGCTTTCATCCACTGGGTTGCACTGTGAGTCGTGAATGATAGGTCCCTTGGGTGTTATTTCTTTAGCGAATGCTGTTGAATTCGACAGTGGCTTTTTCTTGCCTAATTGTGGTTGTGGTATTCTATCGGTAGGTTTTGCTTCATTGATGATTTCCCTCAACGGACTACTGCCATCATCATCCTGGAACACTTGTATTTTCGATCCACTTCCTTTACTCGGGCTAGTAGTAGAATTGAAATAATTTTTCTGGTCTCTAATTGTTGGTAAGCCGAGAGATGATTCCGTCCTCTCAACGATCGGGGTCATGAAAGGAAGTCGATTTTGAGAAACTTGAGCAGGATCTCGATATGGGTGAGTCGGTGGATCATAATCTTCTGGAGGTATTGGAACAAAACTAGTTGTTGAATTAGAAGGTCCATCTTCAGATATCGGAGTCACAAGCTCATCGTTTTCTTCAACATCACGAGGAATCGCGACTTTGATAGCCTCAAATTCTTCATCTTCTGCGTCAGAGAATGTTGAAGCTCGCGTCTCATCTTGATCATCCACATCAGTGACATTCTTTTGAGCTGTAAACTCGGTCCACTCGCTTTCGCTTTTCACATCAGTAGTTTCGTCATCATCACCTGCTTCACTCATAACATTAAGTCTTCCAGTCATGGTGCTTTCACCTCCACTCGTATAATCGCCATCAGTCATATCCTCGTCATCGTCATCACTTTCTTCCTCTTCTTCCTCTTCCTCTTCATCCGCTGCCTTGAGTGGCTGATTAAAGATGTCATAAATCTCATCAGTTGCTGCTTTAGTATGAAGAGTCATCGTTTGCTCTTTTGATGATTTCCGCTTGGTCATCTTCTTCCCCGTCGGCGAAGAAAGTTTGGCACTGACTACAAGATATTAGCTTTCAGTGTCTCTAGATCCTTCTCTCGACTTACTTATTTGTGTCTTATTGACCTCCTTAACTTTCATTCGCCTATGCTTGGTTTCCTTATTGTGTTCTTTCTTTGCCCCATTCTCATCCAAATATACTGCATCTTTAGGAATAACAAGTTTCTCCGGTCTATTTTCATCTGAGAATACTGGATCACGAGCAATGACAAGTTTGTCCGGAATATCTCGAGTGATAGTTTCAATACTAACGTTAGAATCTTGAGTTGGTTCATCTGACACGGGCTCCTCTGATGGTATATCCAATTCTGGTTCCCACAACTTATCCAACCATCCACGATGAGCAGCACGTAACTCTTCAAAACTTAATTCCGTCCCAATCTGATCAGGAGTAGGATACACAGCTTCGAGATTAACAAAAATGCGTTCACTTCTTCCATTTTTTGGATTAATAGTCACTTGTTGCAATTCTGGATTTGTGATTTGTGGTAATGGTATAGACTGAAATACAAAAAGCCATAAGTGCCAAAAATTAGTCCTATGATCATCAACATATGCATAACAAGGGGCGGAAGGGAAGGAAAAACATACCTCGTCCTTGAAAATTGGTATCTTGGTACTGCTCTTTTTCCCACCAGCTTTCAACGTTTCTCCAACCCATGGCTTGGGCTCAATCCTATTTTCCTTCTTTCTATCTGCCAACGATCCTATACTCTGCCATCCTGATCCTGGGGAAGCAGAGACTGCTGGAGCACCATTTTCATCATCCGAGAAAATCTTCAACTTCTGCTTACCACTCTTCGTCGTCGATGAACCACCCACGCCCGCAGATGGTCTCGGTGCTTGAGGATCCTCAGGAGCCGGCGCAACTGCAGCATATGGGTCAATTTTTGCGGCAAGTGCAGGTCGAACTGTAGGCAATGCCGGTGATGAAGGTTCATTACCGCTATCCGGTCTAGCAGCAAATCTTTCCTGGAACTCTTTGAATTTGCGCAACAAACGTGGTGCCGGTCTAGCCTCCTTATCAATACCCATTTGAAAAACTTCCTCCGCCTGGACCCATCTGCCAGCACCTTCTAGCCATCCTGCGAATTCTTCGTAAAATAATGCTAATCCTTCACCAATATTATGACGAGCCAAAAAAGCAAATGTTTCGCGTGGAGTATCGGAGAAAAATCGTATATATTGAAGCCAAAGCTTCAGATATCGTGGATCATTTTTATATTGTGGAGAATTGAGGAACGTTTTCGTTGCGCGCTCAAGGAGAGGGGCGAGCTGTGAATTGGGCGTTGCTTGTGCGGAGGGGTATGCATCAAGTGTCCATTTGACATATCGATCAAAGATATCTAATGGGTCATCTGATTCTCCAATATTGAATAGTTCTGCTTCATATTCTTCTCTAATTGCATCGTTTAGGTTTCTTGTATCGGATGGTGTAGGTGTTGAGAGGGGTTGTAGAGGAGAGGGGGAGAATAATTTTGCAAGGTTTCGTGCTGATCTTCCTTGTGGTAATGATTGAATATTTTCCTTTTGATTCTCAATTATATCAAAATCAATTAAATCCTCGGAGGCAGACATGGTGAGATTGCTGAGTTGTTGGTGGTTGTCCGTCGAAGTGTTTTTGTCGTAGTATTGGAAGCTGTTCTGACTGATTGAAGATCGCAGGTTAGAGTTGTTTACCTTTTTTGTTACCTTAGCAACCTCATAACAAAAATAGAAAACCAGATACCCGCTGATGTTTATAACTCTGTAGTATCAAGTTTTATTCAGTGAATCTATATTATTTTATAAATATCAACATTCTGAAATCAATATTCAAAGCTAAATGAAATCAATGTTTAAAAAATTATAATGTTTTCTTTCTTTAAAAGAATTTGTGACGGAAATCCCTGCTTTCCTCCCACCTTTATTATATAAGAAACCTCAGGTACATTAACCATGTCCACACATGATACGATTACTCGAGATTAGTATGCGATTTAGGTGACCTGAGGATCAGATCCGGACAAGTACTAGGTATCAATGGTTATCGGTAAAGTAAGATCATTGGAGGAATAAATACGACTTCTTTTTGCCTAGCCATTGCGGCTAGGCCATTCATTTGTGTATATATAGAGTAGCTATCCCCATCTACAGGTGCTCTTCACCTGTAGATTCTAAGTTAAATACAATTGCTGGTCTATAAACACCCTTTTGGTCACAGAATTATTAATATCTAAATAGAATTTTTAAATCTCGTTTACTTTTTAATAGATATATAATTATAATATAAAGCCTCTATTACTATGATTACTGTCATCTGATAAAATTACTTCTTAAAAAAGTAAAAGAAAAAGGTTAAGGTAAGGTGATTATCCAAAGAAATTCAAGGAGATTTCAATACATCATTCAATTCATCGCCCTTTATAATATTGTCAACCCAACAGATATTTCAATGCTTAAACATATGATCCTGGATTCGTTCTCCGGTAACGCTCCTCACGTGTATGGCATTCCTCCCAATCTTCCCCATCTAGCACAATTCTCACCCGCGGAGGCTTCCAATTCGAATCAGTTTCCTCAGACTTGATAAGCTCAAAAGAATGTTCCAATGCTGAGATGATTTTTGATGGTGTCATATCGCATCTTGATGGATGATCCCGCCATTTTCCTTCAATCGCAAACTCCGGATGATCAAGCCATTGAGGTCCCTGTACACTATAGCGATATGTCGAATAATCGACAACCAAGGTGAAGGTCTTCAAATGAGGGAATCCAGATAGCCAGCCCGCCAGAGGTGACCAGTTCCAAGATCCACCACTTTTCATACAATCTTCCCATTGCCATCGAATTGATGCACTCTTCGTTGAGAGTGCAAGATGCTGTATGGCTGCCATGTGGTCTTGGAAATGTCGAACATCGCGAATAAGATTCAAGTTTGCACTTTTCGCATCATCGGTTGTGATTACGGTCCCTGGAGGTGGTGGGGGGCCGTTTGGAAGCCAATATGGAACATAAATGATATCCATCGATGGATTCCACCATTCATTAGCGATTTGACCATAATATTCTGGCTTTTCCCAAAATCCTAGACGATAAAATCGCAATGCCTCTTGTCGTGATTCTTGGCAGACCTGTAAGAGTTTTGGCGGAGGGAGATTATTACAAGAACGAATCTGAAAGACTCTTGGTCTTTCCCGCCATGGTATACTGATTCTGAAAGGAAGTATCCTCTTTTCCGGTAAAGCATATTTCCAAATCAAACAACGAATTTCAGTAGGAAGATCTGAAAATTGCTTAGGTGGATCCTTCGCGCTGGACATTGTAAGATATGAATTCATGAATCGACTTGAAATTCAGCAGACATGCCCATGCGGTTTATCCTCCATACATGAGTAAATGAACGGGGAAAGGTTTGTAGTTGTAGATGTCTTATTATTGAAGCTATAATTCAATCGTTCTGAGCTGGTGAGCCTAGCAACCGATTGTACGGGGTAAAATGGAAGTGAGGGGTAGGACGAGTTGTGGACACATTCTTGGAACTTTTGTTTTGGTCGGGATATTAATCATGTGACTTGACTAATTTTAACCCTAGTGCTTCGACAACGAGGGACTGAGTTATATATACGGAGTAACAGTTAGGTAGTTTCATATAGAAATGAAAGAATAGAATTATTAATCGATTATCTGTCACAAAAATACAATCCGAGAAGTTTTGCAGGTAAATTGAAAATGGAATTCTATTCAATAACTTTTCAGCGTCTATGTCACATAATTATACCATACCAATCATCATCGTCAACCAAATCGCATTGCATTTCAAAAAGCCAATCCTATCTAACCCAATCCAATCCAATCCAATCATAAATAAAAAACGCCAAAAACACCAAAACCCACACAAACAAACAACTTCCCCATGATTCCAGCACCCCTCCCTATCCCCATCCCCTCAAACCCAAATCCACCCCAAAACCCACCCGAGCTCACGCCCTGAAAGATCTCCCCCTAACAGAAGAATACCCAGAAGAAGTATATTCCGCATCCGCAGAACCAGTCGTATAATACCCAGTCGGCGACGCAACGCCAGTCATATATCCTGATCCCGTCTCAGTAGGAATAGGAGCAGTAGTAAAATCACCACTCGTAAGATTACTACTCTTAGCTTTTTCCAAGAAAGCATCGAACTTCCCCGCAGGATTAATACCAAGAACCATACCATCTTGACAATGAGACTTTGTGACAGTTTGTGCGCAGAAGAACCAAATTGGTTTATCAGTGTTGACGATGAAATCCCGGGTGATATTGCTTTGATTGTTGGAATTAAATTGATTGAAACCTGTGTCGAATCCGCCGTTGAAGGTACAGGGGGTATTGAAATCGGATTGGGTGACGGTGTGGTTTTTAGCGAGGAATTGGAAACGGATTGTATCGCCTAGGTTGGCGTTGATTTGGTTGGGGGAGTAAATATTGAGACCTTTGTCGCCGACTATTACATGGTGGACTTTGGCTTTGGGTTTGTCAGTTCCGGTGCCGGTGCCGGTGCTGTAGGGTGGCGTGGTTGTCGATTGCATGGGTGGAGGAGTGGGTGTATATGTGGCGCTTTCTAGTGCGGTGACGGTCTCTGTGAAGAGGAATCCATCGATGATAATAATTGTGATATCAACGATGTCCACATTAATCACAACGTTATCCTCGTAAGTAGCAACTGTGCAGTGCTTTTTGTTTCCGGTACCAGTGGGGTAAACCCAGACTGTTGATTTGCTTTCACCATCATATTTGACTGAGGTTACGGTTCCCTGTGCTGTGGTGACATAGTCTGAGCTCATGGGGTATCCTTCTGTAGTCGTGGCATAGATTGGATCAGTCTGGTAGCCACTGGAGCTTCCTTCAGTAACAGTGATTGTTTCGGTAACAGTTGATGGAGGTGCTCCAGAGGTCACAACTGGCGCAGTTTCTGTGTCAAGTTGTGCGGAGCTGAGAGCCAAGAGACTGCTGATAATGGAAATTTTTGAGAGCTTCATGATAAATGAAATAGAATCTAGTAGTCGAAGAGAGTAAGAGTAGAATATAGTTCGAAGGCTCAAGTAAGAGAAAAGATTTAATGATCGTTGCAAGGAAAATAAAGAGGAAAAATATGAAAGTAGATAGGAGATTGAATGAGATATGAAATGAGATGAGAAATGAAAGAGACTTGAAAGGGCTTCATCAATTTATATAAAGATGTTTGCAAGTCGGCGATAATAAGATGAAGACAATTTTGTTATTGTATGGCTGATATCAAAATACATCATCAGCATCCCGCAAAGAAATGTTTCCGAACGCCGTGTCAACGTCAGAATTACAACGACATTATTTCCTTTAATGTTGACTATGAGAAGCTTGTTCCTGACGGGTAGTATCTAATGGCCGAGTGGAGGTTACATTCCGCTGCGCATCACGTCAGATTTTAAACGAAAGCTTTATTTTGAATTACTGACATATAATCTGCTTATATGAACATCTCAAAATATCACTAATTTTCGGTTTCGACCACTCAGTCCCATGGTAATGAGGATGCTCAAAATAAGCACTGGGAATAACTATAAGCTTTCGATGATCGGTCTTTCGTTAGACAGAATGTATCCCCGACGAAATCTTTTCGTACGGGCCTTCGATTGGTAAGATTCGGAGATTCTAAAAGAAAATACCATGAAAGCTTGAGTCGTTGCTGCGACCGAACTTTGTCAGCATTTTTCATCATGGGATTTAGTATAGGCTATTATGAAGCAGGATTTTCGGAAAGAGGTAAAAAATGCATTTAAATTATAAAAAGGTCTTACCTGAATTTGTTGACTTGTAAATGTTGAATGTGTACCTTCTTTGCCCTAGAGTGTGAAAATTTGTGATTCATGGTGATTTCGAAAACGACATGTGTTCATGGATGTTGAAATACACGATGTAAGCTATACACGATGTAAACTATACACTATAGCACTTGCTGATTGCTATTCATAGTTGGACTTTTGGATCGATTCTTCGTTTTCTGTTTCATTAAGTCGCCTGACTTAATGACATCGAGATTAGTGAGAATGATATGATGTCGATAACCAAGCCAATTGCTCGCTCCGCTCTTCGCTTGCTTCCCTTCTATACATCTTAAATCTTCATGTAATTATAGAACTCATGTTTTTGCGTTGAATGGTGGACATATCGATTGACCAGGACTAGAACAACAGATTTTAATATACTCCTGACTGACATGAGCCGTTCGTCATAGATGGCGTAATGCTTAGTCGTGTTCTAACAATGGATAGCTTAGCGAGAAACGACTATTTGTCAATATTCTAGTTCTCATAGGTTGCTCAAAAAATACACGTTTCCTAGTCGAGAACATGACTTCATCAAGGGTATATATAGATATATCGCATGATAGCCGTTTGCTAGAGGGTGTACGCGTAAGGTTACACATGGAACATACCATCCATCTAAGCCACAACCAGGCCTTCCCAAGTCACGATTCTTTAAACGCTCCAATTAAAGATGCAAAAACTAGCATTTTTCACTTGCTGTTGTGAAAGAAGTTGGAAGAATTGATGATTGAATTGAATGACTTCGAAGAGAATCAAGTGTTTGAATTTGAAAAGAAACGTGATGTTTAGTGCTCCAATCTAAATTTGGACACGGATTATAGTTTTCCTGAGACACTCGGACCATAGCTTAAATTAGCAAGGGTTCTAAATTAAGCTCGATGCATACCTCACACCTCGGGTAACATAATATTTCTTTCTTTTTTCTATATCTGTCTCCAACTTTTTATGAATTAGTCGTATTTTGATCAGTATAGATATACATATTTTGTTGATATCAGACGATACTAGTATACTTATATCAGGAAGAAAACAACCCTCAGAAAGCAACCTTCAGAAAGTAGCCTTACACATCCCTGACTAATTTCATATATCAAATTTAAAAAACATACCTTCGTCTGAAACAAGTACGCAATCAACATCCCTTCTTTCATACCTTACTTGGACTCCCGGAATACATCATGTATTGATCTGAATTCACCATCCGATAGATCACATCCCGTGCAAAATTCCCTCCCTCTAGTGTCAAGCCTCATAACTAGGGGTTTTCAAAAGTAATTATGGAATTAGACTGCCACAAACTTACGAGATAAACTTTTTTGATTTTTTTCTGCTTTCATTTGTGTTCCTCTTTTTGCTGTCTTCCTCATTGCTTTTCTTCTTCTTTCATTTCAATCTGGGTTTGAAGGTAAGGACTGAAGATAGAGAATTGGAATTTTCCAAAGCCTGGGTCGAAAATGTTAGCTAGAATTACAGGAATGGCATCATGGAGTTCTGGAAGTAGAATGATGACAGTTGGAGTATTTTTAAGTCTTATTCTTGTTTACGGGTATGTTTTCAGCCTTCTTTCAATCAAATTACATCAATCCTCCCGATGAATCACTGAAATCTAATCTCATCCTCTAGATTCGCATACCATCTCAACAATTATGAAGTCTATATGGAAGTCGAAACCCTAAAAGCCGACCCTATTACGATTGTTCAAACCAAAACAGTAGAACAAACCGTAACGCATTTCAGTATATTGGCCTCTACAAAAACAGAGTCTGCTTCACCAACCTCCACTCTCGATCCTACAAAACTTGCATTTATGGTTGAGACTCGCTCATTACCACATCTACCACTTCAACTTACACATATGACAAGTGTTATTCCACAAGAATGGACCTTTAAATTCATGGGCAGCAACACCTCTATCAATTATCTACTTAGTTTCCATCATCTACAAGATCTAGTAGCCTCAAAAAAACTCACTCTCATTCCTCTTCCTTCACAATGGAATGTATCCAGTCGAGAATCCATATCTCAAATGTTCACCGACCCCGAACTTTACAAATCTCTCTCCCCAGCCGAACATCTCTTAATATTCCAACCCGATTCAATCTTTTGCACCAAAGCACCAACTACCCTTAACGATTTTATCCAATATGATTATATTGGAGCACCTTGGTCTGCAAAATCTACTCATGGAGGAAATGGAGGTCTTTCACTTCGTCGCGTATCATCCATATTACGAGTATTAGAAAATGAAAGACGAAAACCTGGAGATGGAGCGCTTGAAGATTTATGGCTTAGTAACGCGCTCAATAGATTGGAAGGGAGTAAGATGGCGAATGCGGAAGTGAGCAAAACTTTTAGTGTGGAAAGTGTTTGGGATGATGCTCCTTTGGGTTATCATATTGGGTGGTTGGGAGTACATCATGAACAGGTTAGTTGTTTGATATTCCATTCATTCTTCGACATTTAGTCCCCGCAAATATGCGCATTTCCTTTTACTCTTATGCATTTCTCTATCCCTCTATCTATCCATCCACTCCTTCTCAAGCCCCAAAAATCAAACCAAAACTAACAAACACCCCCCAACAACAGATATGGGATAAACCCAACTACGTCTCCCACATAATGAACTACTGTCCCGAAGTTAAAATTATCCTAGGCATGAAAATAGATAATGATAAACCTCAAGGAGTTTCTTAATTCTCATTCTCATTCTCATCTCTCTTCACAAGGTTCCCTCATTCTATCAATCCATGTAAGACTTATATCGTGCTTGTAAATTCTAAGATCACCTCTGTGTGAATCTTAATTATCTCCTTTGATTATAATTATAACGATAAATAAATAAATAAATCATGGATAAATCACGAACAACAAAGCCCTCTTCCCTTCCCATCCTCAAGGAAAAAAAGGAAATCAATAATAATAACAAAAGCCCATTTCACAAAAAATGGCGAAATAAAACCCCGCCAAGTAAAGTATACTTAATTCAACTCTTCCCCCCCTCTCCGACCACTACCCCGATAATATTCCCCGTCCCTTCGCATTCCCATCACTAATTACTACCACTCTCACTACCACTTCCAACCCCATTTCCATTCCCACCCCTAACCCCACTCCCCACCCCCCGCGCAAGCCCAATATTATTATTATTCAATCGATTCGGTTTTTGATTTGCTCCTCCATTTCCTGCATTCCCATTACCATTCCCACCCACTAACCCAATATTCTTATTTTTATTCTGATTCTTATTTTTATTCTTATTTCCCATCCCAACCCCCGCTCCCGCTCCCGGCCCCGCTACTCCTCCAGCAAGCAATAATCCTGCGATATTTTGTGGAGGATTCGGGTGAGGATTTGGATTTGGGAGGGGGTTTGGGGGGAAATAATGGGGTTGATGGGGTTGATGGGGTTGATGGGGTTGATGGAGTTGATGGGGTTGATGGGGTTGAGGATGGGGATGATGAGGATGATGAAAAGCTCCTACGGAGAGGAATTGGAAGAGAATTTCTAGTTTGGCTTGTTTGGTGAGGTGGGTGGAGGTGGGGTGGGTGTTGCAATGGGGACAGGGGGTTGAGGGGGAGTTTTGGTGGTGGTGGTGGTGGTGGGGATGAGGGTGTGCTGTTGGTGTTGGGATTGAGTTAGTGAGTTTGATTTTGAGATGAGGGCATGAGGATGGGGATGAGGATGAGGAGGAAAAGGGGGATGGAGATAGAAATATACATAAAAGAGAAATAAATAAAAATAAGATAAACCTTATAAATAAAGAATTGAGAAGGAAGAAACAATTTTAAAAAAAGAGGCAACAAACCAGCAATCCCCCCCAAATTCCCATTCCCATTCCCCTTTAAAAGCATCTGATTTAAATTCGCATTAAAATTCCCATACTGCGCACCAGGAATTATATTCATATTAATATTCGATATCGACAAACCATACGCCGAGAGGATTTTATCCAATTTATGTACTATATAAATATCACATGAAGCCTTGTTAGTAAATCTGTTTTTGATCAAGTTTTTGATTTCTCAATCAACTTTTTCTAAAAACAAAAGATACATCAACTCCGAAGATGGAAAGGCTGAGGAGGGATTATAAGATTGGGTAATGATGAGGGGGTGATGATGATTGGGTGATTGATGGAGAGAAAAGAGGAAGGGAAAGAAAGAAACAAACAGTTCATTTCCATCACCTCTCTAATTTTCAACGGACGATTGAAATCTGGGGGATATTTTCCTGATGCGTTTACTTTGGGGTGGATTTCAGCGTTTAGGTTTGAGGGGGGAGTGAGGGCGTTTGCGAGGTGCGCGGGGAGGTTTTTGCTAGATGAGGGAAGGGGGTGTTAGATTGTGGGTTTTTTAGAGGAAGATTAGGGGAGGAGGGCGGGAGTTGTGGGTTTGTGAAGGGAGTTGGATATTGGGTTAGGGGTGGGGGTGAGGGAAATGAGATCGTGGTGAAAGGGAGGGGAAGAGGATTTGCTAGGGAATGGAAGGGGAGAGGGAGATGGTAGGTAGAGAGGTGGAGAAGTGAATATGTGAGGTAGGATGAAGATCAGGATCATAAAGGAAAACAAATGAAAGAGAAAGAAACGGGATACAAATAAAACAGGAAAATATACCGTCTAATCTCCTTATTTATCGCCCTAACCGTCTTAGCCTTTCCATCAGTACCACTCGAATCCGAATCCGTATCCGAATCCGAATCATAATCCGAACTGGAACTCAAAACAGCCTTTTTATTTTTCCCATCTCTTCTTCTCCCATTCCCATTTCCATTTCCATTCCGACCCCCACAATTATTATGATTCCCCCCTCTTCTTCCCCTCCCCTTCTTCCCATCTTTCTTCCCATCCCTCAAACTCCCATCCGAATCCCCATCATCATCTTTATCTTTATCTTCCCTTCCCATCAATCTCGCAATACTAACGGCAGTTGTTGGATGTAAATTTATTTGGAGATAGCGTTGGAGGACATCACGGATGAGATCTGCGAAGGGGATGTTATTTGCGTTTGGGGAATTGTGGTTTATGTTGTTGTTTGGATTGTGGGGTTGATGGTTTTGGGGTTGATTATTTTGTGGTTGATGATTGTGGGGTTGATGATTGATATTGTGGTAGTTTCTTGGATTGTGGTGCGGGAATTTCGGGGGAGGAGAGAGGTGTGGAGGAGATGGTGAGCGGGAGGTACAGGGAGAGGGAGAGTGATAGTGGTTTTGTTGGTTATGGTGGTGGCGGTGCTGATGCTGGTGCTGGTGCTGGTGCTGGTGATGAGGATGGGGATGAGGGTGAGGATGGTGGGGGTGCTGAGGGTGAAGATGGAAATTCATTTTGTTTTTGGGCTTGGGAAGGGGGGATTAGAGCGAGTTTTTGACTGGGAGGCGGTGCAGGCGCGGGTGCAGGTGCAAGGAGATGGATGTGGGTATGTGGTGGAGAAGGAGTTCTCGGAGCAGGAGAAAGAAGAACAGGAGGAGGCAAGATGTTTATATGGCGAGTTTGGGGAGAAGGAGTTCTTGGTGCAGGAGGAAGGAGAACAGGAGGAGGCAAAACGTGTATATGTTGAGTTGGAGGAGATGGCGGAGGAGAAGTAATATATGGCGGCGGAAGTTGTCGAACAAGATGTATATGTTGGCTTGATGAAGATCTTGGACGACGAAGTGGTAGATAAATTTCCGGCTCTGGCTCAACAATATGAATCCGTTGAACTTCTGAATCTATCCCACGTCTCGAGATAGGTTCAAAAGGCACTCGTTCAAATCTTTGAGGAAACAAAAACTCAGGTTCAGGTTCCAACTCCTCTTCTGGATAATAGACAGGACTGATAGGACGAGGTTGTTGATAAATTTGTTCAGGAGGACGAAATATTGGTGCAGGTAAAGGATATGCAGGAGATGGAACTGGATATCGACGACGGGGTTTGGATAGAGCGAAGGAAGTAGGGTTGATATATCGATCCCTCCTATTCTTTCTTCCAGGGCTCGGACAGAAAAGACGAAGACAGAAATCAAGCATATAGAATCTTATGAGAAGGATTCTCGGGTGGAAAAGGAAGTACTCTGACTTTTACTTATAGCTAATGTTTGTTCATTATTGTACTACGAAAATGAAAATGTAGTTGCCATATGCCAGCGCAATCAATGGTTACTAGCCAATTCTGAAGATATTTCGCAGGTATCTTTTTGTACATGAATATGGATGATCCAATTAAAATAACTGATGTCAGGGAAAACTGGCAAACATGAAGGGAAAATGTTTGCGTGGGACAAAGGTAGATATCGAGGCTGACTGACGAGCTTTTAGCGAGGCGCCATATGTTTGCTTCCTCGTTGCATGATACCAGGAGCTGGCTAAATCGGTCATGGGTTGGCTTCTCAACAGATTTGAAACCAGTGTAATTGAGATATAATCAAAATGCCTCGTCACTGATAGCGCACTTCCATCGCCTCATTTTTAGCCCCCACCACTTTCTATTGGATGGACTCCACCGCCTGATGGTTGATGTTGGGAACCTTTTGCAATCGCAAGGTATTAGCATATACCTACTGTCAAAGGTTCGCATAGTTACATTAGTAGATCCAAGAGATTGAGCTAAAAAGATCAATTTTGAGGATCTTCGCAACTTTCATTCAAGTGGACCAAAAAGGTGATGATGTGATGTTTCGGAGAAAATGGAAATTTCTAATTTGTTAATAACATTAGCGGGTTAATATGTCAGACTGTAAGAAGTGGCCAATCGATATTGTAGTCAGGTCCCACGCGATTGAGATCAACCCACCGGAATCTCTCCGCATCTGTATGAAAAATTCTCATGGTGTATCTATATCAATATATAATATCATACAAAATGCCGTCCTTCAGCTCATTACCCAAATGTGGATTTCGGCGAGACATGAATGGCTCAGTGTGAGCAGCCACCTTCGGAATCTTCGTCATCACTCTCTTTCTTTCCCTTCTTGACTTTCTTCGCTGGTGCCTTTTTGAACATAGAATCAAGAGTTTTTTGCCCCTTCTTAAGAACTTCTTGCTTCTTCTTATCAACTTGATCTTGGTACTTCTTTCTTTCATCTGCTCCTAGGTCCTGTAAACGTTGCTCTTCTTCCTTGAACTCCTTGCTTTCAGGATCTCTTTCTAACAGTCCCTCTAATAACTTAATTTCGACTGCCCATGTTGAAGGATCTTCAATATTCTTCCCATTAGCACCTTTTTTCTCGATTGGTGTTTCAAGGACCATAGGCATGTTTTGAAAAGGTTTAAAATTGATAACATTATGAAATGCTCGAAGGCCGAGAAATCCTGTACCGATATTTGCGTGTAGATCTCTATTTGATGCTAACGGTGACTTGCTGTCATTAAGGTGTAAAGCTTTCAGGTATGGTAATCCAACGATTTTGGAAAATCCATCCATAGTTTTCTTGAAAGCTTCGGGCGATCTTAAATCATATCCTGCAGCAAATGTATGACAAGTATCTAGACAAACCCCAACTCGGGATTTATCATCAATAAGAGCGATGATGTCCCGAAGGTCCTCCCATGTAGAACCAATCACATTTCCAGCTCCTGCCATGTTCTCTAATAATGTGACTACCGTCTTCGTTGCCTTGTGGGCTTTGTTCAGTTGGGCTGCAATACGTGCAATTGCTTCCGGCCTTGGATGGCCACCTGTACTTCCAGGATGAAAATTGTAAAGCTTAATACCTAACTCTTCACAACGTTTTAAATCATCCAAGAAACAATCATAAGCTTGCTTGGCTTTCTGCTCGTCTGGTTGCGCTAGATTGACAAGATATGAACAATGTGGAAGAACGTATTTCGAAGCGTCATATTTTTCTTCTTTGCAGAAAGCTTTAAATTGATCCCGAGCTTCGGGGGCTAGAGGAGGATTTACCCATTTTTTCTGGGATTTGAGGAACAGCGCAAACGCATTACCACCAATACGTAATGAATTGTTAATTGAATTATGTACGCCTAGGATATTTGTATTAGACTAAACCTTGAACCGTTGAAGAGGGCTACACTTACCGCCGGCACCACTAACATGAGCTCCAATGTGTATAGCCTGCTTCAGAGTTGAAACCAATGTACGTTCGGCTAACGGCATAGTTTCTGCCTCTTTCTCTTCTTTTGTTTTCCTCTTCTTCGTAACCTTCTTTCCAGCGGTAGGCTCTTCCTTCCCTTCGTCCTCGTCCTCGTCCTCGTCCTTCAGTTTGCGTTTCACGGAGGACTTCTGTTTCGTGACCACTACAACCTCCTCCTTCGAAACAATTGCTTCTCTACCTTCCGTGGCTTGACTTGGGAGGGCAATAGGTTCTTCTTCGTCTTCGTCTTCGTCTTTGCCGGTAGCCGGAATACCATTCAACGTTGTAACTCCGATAGCAGTGCCTTCGTTTTCTCCAACACCCTCTTCTTTTACTTTGTGAGCGGAACCGTTGCCTGTTAGCTGTACAACGTTTAATGAAGCCTCATATAGAATATCAATTTCATCCCCCGAATACTCTTCTTTTTTGGTTTGTTTGGCTGCAGCCTTCTTCGGTATCGGCTTCTCGACCTTATTGATAACTTCCGTACTCTCAGTCTTTATATTCTTCCCACGCTTCTTCTTTACAGCATCCGTGGTTTCAATTATTGGAATATCTGGGACATTGGCATTAGCATTTCGTCCAGATCTTCTAGGAGGCATCGTTGCTTGCGGGTGATGTGGCTGTGTTGGAGTACCAAAGGTTTAGAGCTGTAGGAAGGTAGTAGTGAGAACGCGTAACGAAATTGAAATCACCAAAAAAGCGCGACGCGAAGGCACGTGATTTAATTGGAGTTTACCTCGTTAGGCTTCCCATTAACTGCTGGTATAATTCTCATGCCATGTTACAATTGGATCCATGATAAAGTAGCCAGGTAGGTATAAATGAAGAATTGTTTGTTATTCTATGATAATTACGACCCGGCCTTCCTACTCTCTACGATCTTCATAACATCGGCAGCACTATTTGCATCACCCTTTCTCTTTTTAGAACCTCTCTTCCTCTTAAATTTTCCTTCTCCTTTCCCATCGTCATCATATTCTCCTTGACCCCACGCAGAAAGCTTGACTTTCGTCTCATCAAAATCAGCTTCGTCTTCAAATCGACTACTTCCAAATCCCATATCCATATCCTCCATATCACGATCATCCTGTTGGAGCATCTTTTTCCGCCGCGCTTCCTTTGCTGCTTCCTCCGCTGTTTCTGGGGCTTTTGATATAGGATTGAGGGTAGATGCTTTTTTAAGAGCAGCGAGGATAGTTGGGTCACTGAATGCTTTTGGCTTGTTCTCGTTTTCTGTCGTTGCAGGCTCAGATTCACCAAAGTAGTTTCTAGGTTTGTCAGATCGTGGAGGAGGTGCCATATTTCCAGATGCAGTTGTTTCCTGGTGTGAATCTTGAGTCTTAGTCTTCTTCCGTTGATTATCTTCCGTAACTTCTCCATCTTCGGCATCCGTGTCTGAATCTGAATCTGAATTTTCAAGTCCAGCTAATGGATCATAATCATCCCCTGCATCGTCAAATATATTGATGTCTTCTTCCTCTGGTTCCGGCTCTTTTGGTATTTCTGGAACCTCCATCCCTAACGGTTTCGCATCCTTGTCCGGCATTAACAGACCATTTCCTTTCCCTGCTTCCGGTTCAATCTGCACTTTCCTGACTTTCCTTTTCTCATTGCCGTTTTCATCAACGATTATTAGGACCTCTCTTCCTTTTCCATCCCTCTCCATCCTAGTCGTAGATTTTGGAGCTCCAACTTTCTTGAACCTCGCTCCTAAAGATGGTTGCGCCGCCTCCTTGGCCGCCTGCCTCGCTGCTTTCATCTCTGCCAGAATCTGATCTCGAGTTCTTTTCTTTCCTGGAATCAAACTAGGTGGTGCCATCTCCCCTTTCTTTTTGCTCTTCTCCTTCTCGACAGCAACAACATCTTTATCCTCTAACTTCTCAAACTCGTCATCTAAGTCCCCTTCTGCAGCATCATCTTCGTCGTCATTCTTTCCACTTAAAACGTCCTCACCTCTCCTTACCCTCTCCAACAACTTATAATCCAACCCTTTCACTAAATGCGTGCTTTGAACATCACCACCCAATATCTCGTCCCTCAATTTTATGAATGTAGCTTCGTCAATCTGTTGTAGCTTCATCATCTCCTCTAATGCCTTGACTCTAGTGGCCTTATCATCTTCATCCTCATCGATGCGCTGCTTTGTGCGATCGGTATATCCAGCTGCAAGTTTCGAACCTTTAGGTGCGGCGACCGAACGAAATTTCTTGGGCTGTGAGGGATTGTTTAGAGCTCGTTGTTCGGCCACCTGACGTGCGAAATCAACGCCACCTACTGAGCGGCTAGAATATTAGTTAGTCCCTCATTATATAAAGTTATATAAGAAGACTGTTTAAAACTTACGGTGTCATAGGTATTGAACTTCGCATCCGAGAACCAAGTGCAGAAGGTATTGAGCCATCTCGTCTAGGAGTTGCACCAATACTTGAATTCTTATCTCCTGTGGAGGCCTGTCTTGCAGGCGTATCCAGAACTAGTTTTCGGAATTGTTGATTATTCATGGTCGTAGTGTTGTGAGTTATAAAAAACTTACAGGAATGATCAAGTCTTGAGGCTGTAGACATCGCGCCTCTCAGAGTCGACAACGGTCAGATTAGCGATCACGGCAATACCTCACCGCCTTCTAACACCACTCATCTCAGGATGTCGACACAAGAAGCTATCTCATGTATTTGAGGCATTTTTTTTTTAGTTACATTGATTTCCTGATCAAAGTCGAACTCAATTAACCAGTGTATGTAAACTAACTCCAACCATCCAGAAATCCCGCCAATTTTCATCCAATTTCGTCCTTCTACCTAGAGTAAGCAACTACACCTCACAACTCCATGCTATATCCTTCATTCCTTCCCTCGGGATTATATCTACCATAAACCTCTTCTTCGGCGGAGCTATCTGCGTGGACATATTACTGAGATCTTGACCGGGGTCAGTCCATTCATCTCCATTAGGTATTATATCAAACCTCATAGCCAACATTGCTATGAATGCCGCCATCAGAGGTGTGACAAAAGCCTGACCTGGGCACTTATTGACTCCACCGCCAAATGCACGAAATGCATTTGCAGGAACTCTACTGCAAAAACGATCAGGTTGAAAAGAATCAGCCGTCTCTCCCCATGCGTTCTTGTCAAAGTGTAGTCTCCTGTTGGCAATGATCACCATGGAATCTTTCTTAAGGAGATATTGATCTCTTCCGACAAATGTGTCTTCCATGACTAGACGGGGACCAGTTCCTGTCGATCGGAATCTCAGGGTTTCTAGGATCATCGACGATATTATTGGTACTTGGTTTAGCTTTTCTAGGTTGATTTTACGGATAGTTCCCTGAGCTGATACCTCAGATGTTGTTATTCCCTCTACTTGAGTCCGTATTTTTTCAACGAGTTGTGCGTCAGAAAAAACGTGGAAGATTACCCAGAACGTCGTAGGAATTGTGTTTGATAGTACAGCGATATCATTGAGCGTCTCATGTTTCGCAAGGTCTTTGTGGCTGTCGTCCGTCTTATCCACTAGTAATTCGTATCTGTTTTTCATGAGCTCCGAGCCGGAAAGGTATGCACCGGTTGAGAAATATCGTCTAAACCCTTCCTCGACTGCATATCGACCGCGCAAAGCTTTGGTAGCTATAATGTTCGAAACGAAATCTGGTAGTAACAGATTCATTGAACCCTCTGAAAAGGACCTATATATGTCAGTGGTCATCCTTCCTATGGCCTGTGGCGTAATGTCGACTCACCAAAATCCTGCCTCCACGTTCGGATCTCGGTATGGATTTCCGTCTCCATACAAACTTTCTGTTGTTACGATGGTCAATTCGTGTCGTACCCACTCGAATAGATCGGTTCTGTTGTTTCTTGCCGGTGTTGCCTGATTATCTAGTCGATTCTTTGTGGCCAGCGCTGCGACCTGAAGCATTCTTTTCATGCCACCTAAAGGAGAGAGAGCTCCTTGGATTATTTTTATCCCTTTAATCATTAAACTTGAAGTATCAGAGCCAAAGAACACATTTGCCAGGAGCCTGTCTCTCCCCGACTCGCTCAAGCCGGCTAATTGTGCTGTGAATCGTCCTTCCAACTGCCAGAGTGAAATTGCTTTGTGTTTGCGGTGAAGATGTGACATTAAGTCAGGCGAAGCAATAACATGAATTTCTTGGCTAATCATGCTGAGTGAAAAGATTGGGAAGCCAAATTTTTGACTATGAAGATGCGAAAAACACTCCATTAGAACCTACTATCAACCCTGGAGTGTTTGTGGAACATATCTTACCTCAAAATGTTATAGTATTCGTTCTTGTACCATAAGACACCGATGATATGGCCGATGACTGGTATCTTTGGTTGAATGCGAACTGGTGCGCTCGAGACTCGTTTAATCTTGAGGGGAACGACCATGTGGATGCATAGTGCTATGACTATGAGAGCAAAGAGGAAACAAAGTCGGGCATTGTCCACCATATTTTCGATTGCGAGTTTGCCGGAAGACTTAATGCTTGCGTACGATACTAAAGAATGTGTGCAAAAGATAAAGTGGAAGTGAAAGCTGGGTAATAAGGACAATTCCTCTCAGAAGAAGCGTTTCAACAAAGCCTTGTGTTCAATGGACATCTAAAGAAGAGCTTCTCTTCAGCTTCAAAGAGCAGGTTGTTTGAAGGTGAGGCACCATACATTAGAGCTAAAGAAAGCCCAATATCACATTCATGTCACCCTATTGCCTACAACATCAGTTATCCAGCCAGTAGTATTGATATAAAGTCACACAACAAATTTTGAAGAAAAATTATTTTTCGAAATACACCCTTTTTATATCTCCATTACACTAAACAAATCAGCATCAATCGAATGCAATTGTTCCCAAAGAAATTGAACCAATAATTGTTGTGATACTGTTGTCGACATCCAAAACATATGAAATTTTCACCTCCTTTATCCCTTTATTACAAATGAAGAGAATTCAATAACAAAGACCACCCAATCGAACTTCCCAGAAATAATCTTAAACACTCTATATCAAGAAAACCACACTAAACAAACCTATAAAGAAAACAATAATCTATTATTCATTTTTTCCAATCTTATCCCTTTTCAATCCTTCAATTTTCAAATCCAATATAATATCTTGAACTTTAATGATCCATTCAAATCATTAATCAATCGCTCAACATTTTAATTCAATAACAAACAAAGACGATAACCCAATCACTCAGAGCCCCATATCAACTCACCAAAAGAAACTATCCAAAAAGCTAGAAATCTATTCATTCTAGTTGTCTCCCTAAAAGAGGATATCGAAGAACAATCGAAAGTCCTAGATTTAATCGAAATATTTTGTAAATATCTTAAAAAAGGAAAACTCACAAAAACCTCAAATATTATTACATTACAAATCTCTCATCTAGAAAATGCTATCAAACAGATCGAAAAGCAAGCCAACCACTTTTCAAATTTCCTCCAATATATAATCCCTCTTATAATAAATACCTTTAAAACCAAACCCAATTATACTATTTTTATCAAAACCTTAAAAGAATAAAACCTAATTACAAAAAGAAAACCTACAAAATAGAAAACTACAGAACAAAAAAAAAGAAATCTCAAACAAATAATTAATCCTTATCAAACCTTTTATTTATTAATTATATTTTTTTACATTATTAAATATAAAAAACAAAGTCAACAAAGCCTTTAAGAAAACAGAAATCAATAGATCAATTATCTCAGCTATTACTATTACAAAGAGTAACAATTTTATATTAATCATTAATAATTTTTTCAATATATAATTCCTGATCGAAAAGAAGGAGATCTGGGACAAAATCCTTGATGCCGAAAGAATACAAATCGATAAACCCTGGCATAAAGTCATCATTCACAAAATCCTAATTCAGGAATTCTCAGGTCTGAAAGGTATAGACCTAATCAAAGAGGAAGTCAACACCTTCAATCTAGGGCTCAGTATTATAAATACTTCTTATTGGTTTACTAATACCTTCAAGAAAGCCAAACAACAAGATGAAGCAATAGTTATTGCATTTGCTACACAAAAAAAAAGCATATATAGCTATTCAGAAAAGGCTATATATTGTAGGTATTAATGTTAGAATAGAAAGATTTTATTTATTTATTCCTTTATTTCAATATAATAGATATTAAGGATTTAGCTATAATGAATCATTTTGCAAAAAACCTTCAATTCGTAGACTTTGCAATAATAATCATGCTACAATCGGTTATTTCTGTATAATCTGCCAAGTAAAAGGCAAATCATATCAACATCTAAATGTCAAATGTGTTAATTGCAAAGGAGAATACAAAGCTAATTCGAAAGTATGTGAAGTATATCTATCAACCATCAAGAAATCCAACTAATGCTGCACAACAATACTCGCATTCTTCAAATCAATCTAAACAAGAGCCTTCAAACAATTGAAAATGCTTTTCAACTTGTTTTAGAACTCAAAATTGATTTTATAATCATTCAAGAACCCTGGATCCTTATGATTTTTGAAAAAGACTTCTCCTCAACCAGATCTATTGTCCACTCCAGCTTCTCTCAACTCCTCCCAAATAATCCTTCGAACCTGCGTCCCCGAACTATGATCTACATTTCAAAAGGATTCAAACCGCTAATAGCCTTAGCTCCCAACTCTCCAAATGATCCAGATATTCAAATTATTGATATCACTCAAGGAAACCATATAATACAACTCATCAATATCTACAATAAAGCGGACCAAGCCAAAGAAAAAGGCTATATTATCGAAAGATACCTTTTCAATACCCCTTTTATTCATTACATTATCCTTGTAGGAGATTTCAACTCTTATCACCCTTGATAGGACCCCTTCTCTAACAAAAGCTCAAATGCTGATCTACTCACCGAATGATTTGAGGATCACAATCTCATTCTATTTAACGAATCAGGTACAAGCATCTTTTATCGAACAAATATAACAAATCCAAGTGTCTTAAACCTTATTTTAGCTACAGATTCAGTATCTCCCTATATCACTGATTAGTAAGTTCCCTCTGATCTTGGATCAGATCACTTAAGTATTTTCTTTAAAGTAAAGAGCACTTCATCCCGTACAATGAACATAGCTCAACCAGCAAGATTCAACATAAAACTGGCGGATTAGGAAAAATTCGCGAATACCCTCAAATCGAAAATATCGATATCAACTATCTTAAATTCGAGTGAATACCTTAATATCGCTACCTTAGAATCCAATTCTCTTGATTCTCTTCTCGATAAGAGCCAATATATATAAGTATTGGATGATACTGCAAAAGAATTCACCCAAATAATCACTTATTCAGTTGAAACCAGTATACCGAGAATCAAGTCCACAAAAAGAGCTAAACCCTGATAGTCCTTAAAGCTGAAAGCCCTTCGAAAACGATTCTCTAATGCATTTGAGAACACCAAGCTTTACCCGAAAAACGATATATTCAAGAAAATCTATTAATCAGTTAAGAATCATTATTTCCAAGCTATTAAAACAGCAAAGAAAAACTATTGGAATGAGTTCCTTGAAAAAGAGGATACCCAATCTATATTCAAGGCAATATCATATACAAAAGATATACAAATCGAACGAATCCCGAATATTCGATCCAATCCCTCTAAACTAGAAAATTCTTTCGAGGGAAAATACTCTGCATTTAGATCGACCCTATTTCCTCCTCCTTTATTCACTTCATTGCCCAATTGGGAAAGCTATAAACAATCTAAGAAATGAGAATAGCCTGATCTTATAAAGAGCGAACTCCTAAACGTGTGCTTTGCAAAAATCAAAGGAAAGACCTCTGGCCCCGATGGGATTACTCAAGATATCATTATTCAAGTATACAAAGCAATACCAAAAGCATTCTTTACCCTTTTCAATCATCTTATCAACCTTTGTTATTATCCTTCTTGCTGGAAACAAGCCATTGAAGCGATACTCAAGAAACCTTCAAAATCAGACTACTCGGCCCCAAAAGCTTATAGAGTTATCGCCCTACTAAATTGCCTTAGCAAAATAAGTGAAAGAATTCTGGCTCAAAGGCTTAACTACTTAGTGGAGATTACACAATTACTTTATTACTCTTAAATGAATGAAAGAAAAAAGAAATCAGCTATCGATACAGCAATCTTACTCACTACCGAAATCGAAAGAAATTCAAGATCCAAAAAGAAAACCTCAACTCTTTTCCTGGATGTTAAAGGCGCCTTTGATCATATATCTATGAACAAATTATTAGATATCTGCAAGAATCTAAACCTTCTAACCAGCCTAATCGTCTGGATCTCATCTTTTTTGAAGGAAAGGCTACTCAAGCTCTCATTCGATGGCCAAATTGAAACTTTCAAACCGATCAATACTGGGATCCCCCAAGGCAGCTCTATTTCGCCAATTCTCTTCTTAATTTATATTCGAGATCTATTCTCAGCAAATTCAATCAAATATCTCTCATATATAGATAATATAGCTTTAACAACATTTTCAATATCCTGGAAAAAGAACATCATCTCCCTCGAAAGAGCAACTAAACAGATATATAATCTGGGCAAAGAAAATGCTATTCAATTTGATCTAGCGAAGACGGAACTAATACACTTCTCTATATCCAAAGATACGAAGACAGCCTCAATCAAGCTTCTGAACGAGGAGATAATTCAATTCTCAACACTAGTCAGATGACTAGACATATGGTTCGACCCTGGCCTCAGTTTCAAACAACATGTCACAATCCGAGCTACCCAGGCTAAAACCTCATTCTACCGAATAATTAGACTTGCTAATTCTGAAAAAGGCCTTAGTCCCAAGGCAATAAGACAGCTCTATATAGCATACATCACCAGTATAGCTGACTACAGTTCAATTTTATAGTGGAAAGGGCAAAACCAATTCAAGAAAATCCTTCAATCCTTGCAAAACCTCGCCCTTCGAAAAATCCTAGGTGTGTGAACGAAGTGAATGACTTCAATTCAATTACTACTGTAATAAAGAACTAAGCGAACGCGAAAGAGACTAGCTCTTTTAGTAAGTCTATATAAGACTTACCACTTTCAATATGTAGCTAGCTTTTTAGACAGAATACAATTAGACATACAGGACCTACATAATCCGTGGGTGCTACGTCTTCCGTATCCTTCTCGTACCAACACTAGGAGTATTCAAAACCTCACCAATAAAACCAATGGAAATAGAAGCCGCATTGTGCCCTCCAGAAGTACGGCTAAATGCTGGAATCAAACAATACGCATTTAGATTATTGAAAATCTCGCCTTCTCATCTTGTCAATTTAGTAGCTACAAAGCTGGCTACAGAAAAGGAGATTCAAGATGTAGTTGCAACCCCTCAAAGAAAGCAATTAAAACCTACTCAACTCGAAAAGATTAAAAATTCAATTCAGAAAGACTTCGATCCTCTCACTTTGGAAGGAATCCATCATTTCTACTTTCCTCCTTGAAAGAAAGAAGTTCCATATAAAGTCAATATCAGCAAATTAGGAAAAGAAGAAGCTGCGATAATTCACAATCTGGCTTTCAAATATAGGTGCAAAAATACCATTACAATATACACCGATGCCTCATCCACTTTAGAGGGAATAGGGATTGGAATCGGGATAGCGGTCATCTTACCAAATAGCCGAATTTCTCATCAAGAGACTATCAATATAGATGTGAATCAGCTTATCTATAATGAGGAGCTCCTAGGAGTTGTTAAAGCGATCGAATACACAAATTCAATAGCCCAACCAGGAAACAAGTTCAAGATATACTCAGATAATCAAGCAGGATTATTCCAATTGAAAACCCCCTCCGATTTACCTGGTCAATCATGTCAAATCAAAGCTATAAAAGCTGCGGAAGCTATTCAAAATAAAGGAGCCGAAATCTCTCTCAATTGGGTCCCTGGACATACATCTGTACAAGGAAATGAGCTAGCTGATTCTCTTACAAAAGAGGCGACCAAAATACCATCCTCATCTCACGAAACCAGTTATGCCTCCATTGGAATGGATATAAAAAGAATGAAATCAGAGAACTGGATAACTATCCTTAACACTAACAACTTTCATCAACCATCGTCAACATATTCAAGAAACTACCCCTGGAAGATCAGCTCAAAAATCAGAATTCCAGGAAACATTAAAAGAAGCACAATCTGTGCTCTGTTCCAATTCAAAATTGGACACGGATACTTCAAATCTTATTTGAAACGATTCGGTATCTCCTCTAATGACAATGTAGATGTGGGGGAAAGGAATCTCCTGATCATCTTCTGCTCAGTTGTCCTTTATATAAAATGACAAGGAAAACCCTCAATAAGGATAACCCCACAGTCCGACCTATTATGAAATATCTGCTTCATACTAAAGCAGGAATCATCAAGACCCTCGAATTTATCGAGGCGACGAGAATAGCCATCAGATCATGGCATCTCAATAGAATGCATGAAGAAGAAGAGGAAGAAGGCGGAGAAGAAGGGGGTGGACCGGAAGATTGTGATTGAATTGATCAGTTATGGCCAATTTGGTCAATTTGGTCAATTTGGTCAATTTGGGCAATCACCCCAATGTCAAATTTCATTTGTTATTCCTCTTACTTGAATACGAGAGTATCTGTAAGGCGGGCTTGGTTCCCTAGTATTAGTTTTCACTTCCCCCATTCAAACATTAGAAGATTGAGGCTTTCAATCTCCCCAACCTGTATTAGCTACGGTCGAATAAGGCCAGCCACCCTCCATTTACTATTGTTAGAAGCCTACAAAGCTCCTAGCCGTCTTAGATAGTCATAGACTCAGTGTAGACGTTAATTTAATCAATCAATCAATCAATCAATGTGTGATTCATATAAAAGCCTAATATAGTCTCAGTTCTGCCCTGTCAGCTTCCCACTATTCCCTGTGTAAGGTCATTCCTTTTAACATATAATAATAATTATATCAGTAAACAGAAAACAAGATGTTGATTCTTCATTCAAAAATAAATTTCAATAGTTCTTATTTGTAAAGTTTAGAAAGAGTATTTAATTATAATTAATTAAAAATGTAAATAAAGTTTTTACATTTTTTAATTTAAAAAATCTTTCAAAATTATAAAAAGTTAATTAAAAGAAACTTATATGTTAAAAGGAATGAACTTACACAGGGAATAGTGGGAAGCTGACAGGGCAGAACTGAGGCTATATTGGTCTTGTATATGAATCACACATTGTCTCTATTCTACAGAGAGCTTCTCAATCTAGTCCTAATAGGACTAGTGCCCTGTGCACGTGCTACGCAGGAACCATTCACTTTAACATTATATATCTTATATAGAAATATTCTAAAATAGATATTGAAAGAAAATTTGATATTTTTCATTAAATTATATTAGGTTTTTTAGTAAATTAACATTATAAAAAAATGAAAATAAAATATAGATTAAAAAAGAAATCTCTTGACAAAAAAAGTAAATATCTTAATAGAAAAGGAAAACAACTTGCTTAATTAAGAGGATAGAGATGAGATGAATAACATAAAGGAGAAAAAAGGAAAAGTCCGTGATACAAGCCGCAACACTGTAGACTCGTCGAAATAAATAAAAAGTTACGCAATGTTACGTGACGGTTGTTATCCCACTAGTGGCTCACGTGCACTAGCCCTGTATATAAAGACCTTCTTACTTAGAATCTTCTTAGTTCTTTAGTTTTAGATTCTAAGTAATTGAATTGACTCCGTTTACGACTTTTCCGTCACACGCAATAGGAAAGTCTAATTTCGTATTCGACCGACAACCACTTTCCTAGAAATCTCTCAGTCAGGAAACCAGAACCATTGCGCAAAGCCCCCAACACTTTCCCACCAAAATCCCAGAAACTAAACCCGTAATTATATCAATTAGCCCACGGTAAATTCCCAATTCTCAATTCCCAATCCACAGATAAGATCACCAAACGAACTTTCCACATTACACTCCAACCCCTATCCTCTACCCCTATTTCCATCTCCACCTGCATTTCTCTCCCCCTTATCTTTCAAACTTTTTTCCCTCTCACCATCAAAGTTCAATTCAAACTCAACCTTCCGATTCCCTCCCCAAAAGCAATCTCACAATCTGCACAAACTGATTCGGATGTCCAAACTTCCCATACTAATTCTTCTAGGCCGCGGGGACAGTTTAGGTAATTTGAGGTATTGTAGCCTAGGGATAGTAGTGTTAGAGTGGAGATTTTAGGATGCGGGTATGGTTTGGGAATTTGTTTTGATTTTTGTTGTTGATTGTGAAGATGGGTGTTGATAGAGGGTTCGGGGAGGAAAGGTTGGGATAGGGAGGGGAGGGGGGCGATGCAGTTATTCATGTGTGTATATATATGAGAGGAGCAACGAACCAGGACAAAAAGTAATTTCTTTAATAATGACATGTTTGGGTGGGTGTATTGGTTGAAGAGGGATGAATTGAGATTGGCAGTATCGAGAGGGAAAGGGATGAATATGGCGGATGCACATAATTTGTGCGGAAATCGGAGCTTGGAAAGAGGAGCGGGACAAAGGAGAATGCAGGTGGAAAGGAGGAAGACAGGGATAGGAACAATTGATTGAAGGTTTTGATGAGATGTGAGTTGTGGTAGGAAGCAAGCTAAGGAGGAAAAGTTCCGAGATTACCGGGTACGTAAATCTCCGTTTGGAAGAAGTCCGTAATTTTTCTGAAGTGGGAGAAACTGCTGTGTATGAATGGGGTGATATCGGATAAGTCCTTTCGATGCGGCGATGGCACTAGCTTCAAGGGATATAAAAGAATAGTTTTGAGAGCCCTGCTCGTCTCATGCACAGACTTTGAAGAATGAAGTTCAAATTAAGAGTTGATAGAATCGAATTAAGTAACAAGTGAAGCTTGAAATTGGTAAAACAGCAGAAAAGCTTTGTATTTCGCCTTAAGTATTCGATCCATATCGTATGTAGAAGATGTTATTACCAGGACTCGTCTGAACTTCATGCCTCATATAGTATGACCCAAAATCGGATCTTATTGGGAGCGAGGAACTAGAAATAGATTTTGTGGGGTTTGATCGATGTAAGCAAGGCTAGTACTAGGACTAGCTAGTCTACCGGTCATAGAAGGTCATGTCGCAATAATAATGAGGTGCAGCTTTTGATCATTTCTCGCGTGGCTTCGTGTGGGGTCTTGTTCTGCCTGTTGTTCCAACTGATGCAAGTCAGAGGTTATTGCTCATTGTGTCTCGGGAAGAAGCCGAGGAGGGGAACAAAATGTTTTCAAACGCTACTAGGAATGAGATGCGGTTTTGATCAGTTATCAACTTATCATAGAGTTTCATTCTTGCTGCCATATCATCCACCAACTTGGAAAAGCCTTTTTCCCATGTCTTGCAGGTAATTCGGAGACCTCAAAAGTGCTTCTAGCTTCTTTCTAGCTCTTTGGTATGCCGCTAGAACTGTCGTCCACCACTCATCAGAAGTAGCTGATCCCCTGCAATAAGAGCTTAACCTTCTTTGGGATCATAGTGCAGCCTTTGGTAATTGGATGTCTTGCTGTTTGTCTCGAATAAGCATGTAAAAAGAACGGCCCTTGGTAGTGTAGAAGAACATGTGCGCCACGTGTCGATTACTAGACCCTCACATCCACTCTTTGGGTCATTTTGTCATCTCCACTTCACCAACAGGGTTGAGAATGGGTAGAATAAGGACGCTAGATCCGTGCTTCCAGTATTCTGGCCGTTCCATGTACGGCATATCAACGGTGTCGAGTGGATTGTCGGTAATGAGTCGAATGACCTTCACTTCCAGCTTTGTGGTTGTTTCATGATATAATACCTCCTCCATCAATAATGGCAAGCTTATTGTGGAGAGTGGATCAATCAACAGGCAATGCGCGGCTCAGTGGTGTCATTTTGGAGATAACGACGTACGATTGTGGGTATTTCTGCGTGTAAAAGCGATGCAAGACATTTGAGGTAGATGGAAGCTTGGTCGTCTCGCGGGCATACCTCAGATTTTCTCTCTAATTTCGATCTACAGGCAACCACGACTTGGGCTGCTCGTCTGCACGTAATAGTATGCTACATCATAACTTCAATGTTTGAAGACATGTTGAACACCCATACTCTCATCCTACTGGAAATTTATATTTGTTTCATGTCACGGAAAACAGGTCTGAGGGCTCGGCCTCGTAGCCAATATTGGGACTATTTCGATATCCACCTATATGATGACATATACATTCATACCAAACTGGTAAATTACACCATAAACCATTAATTTATATAGACAAAAATAACTTCCCGCCAGCACTCTCAAAGAACATTCCACACTGTCCTCAAAATCACCAAAACACCAATTAAAAAAATTACACTTAAAATGTATTAGAACGTTGCAATAAACTGTAGCCCAAGGATATCATCCCAAAAATAGAAGTTTTAAAATATTGTTCACAAAAAAAGTATATAAGTGACAAATTTTCGTGTAACCACCAATAAAAGGGGGAGGATTTTCATGCTCTACTTGGAGCGAGATAACTCATGAATTATTGGACATCCATTAACATTTTGACGCAGATCGATGCTTGTCGCAGCTATTATAAGATCTTACATCTCAATACAATAAATTTATACACATCCTGAAAGGGAATCGGTACCGGCAATCTTACTTAGATTTGTGATGAGGCTCACTTGACTGGTGGTGGAATAATCATACTTGAATTTAGTACACGGTGGTATTCATAACTAAAACTGCACTACAGTGATAAACAGAGGAAAAATGGCCGGTTTTAAATTCACTTCTGCAAAGAAATGACTTGCATCAATGTTTGTGACCATCAATTAACATCATGAATCTAACAGAAAATCCTTTAGTCAAGTCGATCACTTCGCTTACCTAATCTCGATCCCACTTTTCTCAAACGGCAACATCCTCCTAATCTTTACATCACTACTTTCTGCTTAAGAACTCCTAGATACTCTCTGGATATTCTCAAGTATACGTAGAGTGCGTACATACCATAAGAAATCGCAAAAATGGGAAGTATGGGATCCGAAGCGCAGAGAATAAATGTTTGGTTGGATTGCGATCCAGGTACGTAAAATCAAACAAAATCAAATCAAAAACCACCGCGACATCGAAATTCTCCGCTTGCTAACACTCCTGCATAGGCCACGATGTAAGTTTTATATCTTCGTATCTGTTTGGAGATATGCATGTTGAAAGTGTCTTATATTCGTCATCTGGAGGCTAAAGCTAGGTAGCTGTGCATTATGCAAGATGCAAAGGATTTGGAAATCATGGAGTCACATGATCTATCCTCGTGGCATCAAAAGTTATCCAGGAAGATAGAATTTGTTGAGGATGAGATGAAGGAGAATAGCTAAATAATAAATAGGATGCATTTGCCATTCTTCTCTCCGCCTACCATCCCTCTCTAAACCTCCTCGGTATCTCCACCGTCCACGGGAACTCCTCTATAAATCATACTACCTACAATGCGACCTCTCTTCTTACAGCCATGTCCGCAACCCATATCCCGGTCTACCGGGGTTCTGGAGTCGGATTAGTACGTCCCGCTGTTCATGCTCCTGCTATCCATGGGGAATCTGGGTTGGAAGGAACAAATCTTTTACCGATACCTGCGAAAGGACCTGTTGATGAGTCGGCTATCGATGCAATGGCTAAAGCATTATTAGCTACGCCACCCGGCTCGGCATGGGTAGTTGCTACGGGTGCGTTGACGAATATTGCCTTATGCTTTCAAAAATTTGAGGCATTAGCTTCGCATATCAAGGGATTAAGTATCATGGGTGGCTCCGTCGGAAACGATTTCACAAACGCAGTTTTAGGGCGAGTAGACCACAAAGAACGGATAGGAAATTGGAGTATCTGGGCCGAATTCAACATCTTAGTTGATCCCGAAGCTGCGGCATTCATATTCGAACACGAGGTTTTAAAGAAGAAGGCTGTGCTTATTCCACTGGATATTACGCATCAGGTATTGGCCACAAAGGAGGTGCAGGAGATGTTGAAGTGTGGAAAGGATGGGGGAGAGAAGAGTACGCTGAGGACGATGTTGGTGGAGTTGCTTATGTTTTTTGCAGCTACTTATGATAGGGTTTTTGGGATGAGTGATGGGCCGCCTTTGCATGATCCGCTTGCCGTAGCGGTTATTATGGATGGAATTTTGGGTGCCGAGATTCCTTTCTATGATTTTGAGGAGGGAGGCAAGAGGGAGAGATTCGAGGTTAAGGTGGTTACTGAGGGTAGTCATGACGATGCTCAGAAAGGGTCGGAAACAGGTAGAACTATTGTCAAACTACTCCCTGAAGGGGAGGAGGGTGTTAAGATTCCAAGAAGCTTGGATATTAAGAGATTTTGGGACGTAGTGGAAGATTGTCTATCTAGAGCTGATGCCGCAAACAAGGCGAACGGAATTGTTTAGAAAGAATTCTATAGAAATAGAAAAATAGAAATCTCTATCTTCATAAGTTTTACGTCGTGATCATGAGATCTGTCTACCCATATTGTACAACTCCCGATGCGCTTAAGCGCCAAAAATGCCACCCATTGTCCATCCCTACATTCAGACATAACGCCGTTCGTAAAATGATGTTGCTCAAACCGAAACCAAACAATCAAAATCACTCCTTCGTATCCTCCAAAGATAACGTCTCTGCCGCTGCCGCAATATCTTTCACATCATCCTTGGCCTTCGGCTCGCCATCAGCGTCAAAACCAAGCAGATCCAATTCCCTAATCAACTCATTAATCTTAATAACCTTCGCAAATTGCTCCGGCAGCAATTTTGCACCATCCTGCTGACTTTTCTCCTTCAGATCCTTAGCCTGCTTTAACTTCTTCTTCAGATTCCTTGCTTTCTTTTCTCTCTCTGCCTCGGGATCAACCTCTTCCTTCTTTTCAACCTCAACATCCTTTTTCCCGTCCCTCCAATTATCAGCCTGACTTCCTTTCACTTCACCACTCCCTTCTTTGGAATTCTCAGCAGCTTTCTTTCTCGCTTCTCTCCTCTTTGCATTTTTGTTGCTGGCTGCAGATCCCGCGGTACTGGTATCATCCTTTAGACCCTCTGCGCCGGGTGGCCCTCTGCTACCACGATTCTTCCATGTTTCTGCGGTGCGGTTTTTGTATACTTCGACATCCTCGGGCGGTTTGTATCCTGGACGGATTTTGATTTCTTTTCGTTTTGTGCCGTCGGCGCGGGTTGATGAGGGGATATGACGATCGCCTGTTTGAGTTTCGACGATACCGGCTTTGGAGGGAGTGGGTACGGAGGGCATTTTTTAGATTGAGGGACGGCGCCCTTTGTGAATGGTTCTAGAATTTGTGTTATAACAATATCTATAGGTGCATAGATACGCTGATTCAATCTGTCCAATTCAAAAAAGGGTGGAGGATTCAAGTACGTGTAAACTTGAACTTTAACTTTGCTTGAACGGTCAAAATTCATGAGGCTGTCACACGTAAAGTGTTAACCAATTGAAAGAGAGTACAGATGAACGACTTCGACCAATCAAAAGCGAGTCGATATGACCATCGGGATTTTACGTTGTTTTGTGCCGGGGAAGCCAAAATTCGTCCGATTGCCTACAACTTCAATTCTAGGAATCATTTCACTCGATAAGCTGTCCCTACCGATCTGCGAAAAGAACTGATTAATTCGCCATGGTATGTTTACAAGATGAGCTATCCTTAAAGCTGCCAGAGCTTTGCTGATACACACAATCGTAGCCTTCCGCAAGCCGTCCTCTTTACAAGTTAGTTGCCCTCCCTCGATGCGCCCACCACGACATAACTACTATTGGCGGAAAGACATGAGGAAATAGAAGGGCTAATGATTGTTGGAATTTAGCTTTCTCTTCCGAAAGAACTACGTGTTCCTCGGTGCCGTGTTCGCTTCTGCCTTTGGATTCGAAATGTATGTTTCCTTGGATACTCGGAATGTATGGAAAGGAAATAGGGAACTAATGCATGATAGGGCATATGATTCAATCACAGATAGAGTTTGGGATTCTATAAACAAGGGCGTAAGTTATTCTACCAGGGGATATAGGAAGGAAATGTGCTGATGGATATGCATAGCGTCAATGGAAAGACATCCGTTCGAGATATGTTGAGGCTGCGGACGACGAATAGGTGGTCTATGGGACAGGAAAATGCTAGGAGAGTGAATAGGCGCTTCATGGGGACAGGGGATGTTAGAGGAAAGAATCGCGGCGTCAGTATTGGGCAGGGCGCTTTCATGGAAGTGTATAAAAGACATTCGAGATTGTAGCACTGTTCAGGCATAAAAGCAAGATTACAAAGACCAGTACTGCGATGACATTATCTCCGACTATCCTCCATACTGTTTGTTGGAATTAAAGGGTTGAATATATGTGAGAATCGGCAGTCACAAAGATTTGCGGCAATTAGAGGTTTTGATACTTGTGAATGTTATGTCAGGGAGTTTGGCAGGAGGTGGATTTCAACTTTGATTTTCTGGCATCCATTCATACTTCAGAAATTTAAGAAGAATCTTTTATTTGCATCTAACGTTGAACCCAAGTTCAACTAGTGAACCTAACTTCAATTCTAGAAATTGACACCTTATTCAAGCCCGACGGATCATTCAATTGTGGATTGTCAGTTCAGACATCAGGTGTTGGGTTGTTGGCCCTTGATCTTTGTGGGAGCTCATGAAACGGGAATCTTCCCCGCCACAGTCTATTCATCTTCCACAAGTAAAACAAAACCTTTACATGATTACACATCTAGGCGCAGAGGAGTCATATTGTGCAGTATAAATCAGAGTTTATCTATCTTTCAATATAGTTTACTGTTCAGTATTCAAGCCTAAGGAGTTTCGATTTTATTTCCATTTCCAACCCTTCGCCTCACCTCAATTGCGGCAACTGCGACACGAAAACGATTCTTTATCGATGAACAAGCATAACCTACCACAAACGTGATATCATAAGAACATCCCAATTTATGCAGGAGACAGGAACTCCATCTACCCAGTTCCCAGGCGTCATGGCGGAACAATCTATGCCCTCAAGGCAGCTCTGTGACTTTCTCAAAACGTTGCCCCGCGTTCACCAGAATCGATACACAGAGCAGGCAGAACGCGATCTACTTCAGAGTCTCTTTTGGTCACTCGCCGGCGGACAAAAAGAATACTTAAACCTTTTCTTCCCAGAGGATTCGAGGCCATCGATCAACGAGGCATGGAAACTGAGAAAAGCGCAAGGAGGGACAGATGGCGACGAATTTACAGAGGCGGCTAGAGGGAAGGTTTGCGGACATATATTTAAGACTGGAGAAGCTACATATCGATGTAAAACCTGTAGTTCCGATGACACATGCGTACTCTGCAGTCGATGTTACGATTCATCTGATCATACGGGACATATGGTATATGTGAGTGTCTCATTGGGGAACAGTGGATGTTGCGACTGTGGAGATCCAGAGGCCTGGCGTCTACCAGTCCATTGCTCGATACATACAGCATACGGACCTGGCGAAGGTGAAGACAAGGGTAAGGCAGCGGGTCTGCCAGGGGAATTGTTGGAAAGCATACAAATGACCATCGGGAGGGCTTTTGATTATATTTGTGATGTTATATCATGTTCGCCAGAACAGTTACGATTGCCTAAATCAAAGGAGTCTATACAGTTGGATGAGAGGAGGTCGCGATTGACATCTTCATACTATAACGGAGATATCATTGAGGATGAATGCGAATATGCACTTCTTTTGTGGAATGACGAAAAGCATACTGTCAATGAAGTTCGAGATCAGGTGGCAAGAGCCTGCAAAGTAACAAATGCGGAGGGCTTGCGGCGAGCACATGAAACTGACGATATTGGCCGAAGTGTTATTAAATATAGTACGGACATCGACCAATTGTTGCGGGTTTCAAAGGTTGTCGAACAGATTAAAGTCACGGTCACTATTCGTTCTGCTCGGGATACTTTCAGAGAGCAGATGTGTGGAACTATCATCGAATGGCTTAGCGATATTTCTGGTTGTAGCGTCGGTCCAGATCACAACATATTACGACAAGTTGTTTGTGAAGAGATGCTTAAAGAGTGGAACCGAGGAAGTGAGGCAAGCAACGCTGACATAGGATTGAATGGAATCGATGACCATGAAGTGGAGGAGAATCTGTGGTCAGATGTTGAAAGTCGAGTTTTCGGACATATTTTGAGAGACCGCCAGCCTCAAGCTATGGCGGTAATGGCCGCGGCCGCTGCTACCGATTCGGAATCTGACGAAAATGAGAATGATGATGATGATGAGCTCAATGAAGCCAATATAGCGCTTGATGATGACGATGAAGATGGTCCCAGTGATGACGAGGTGGAATTAGTTCAGTTTGAGTCCGAGGCGTTGAGAATTTTTCAACAGGCGAGACAACAAGCTTTAGCTACCGCTGCTCAACCAGAAGCCGAAGCCGAGACTGATAATGATGGAGATGTTAACATGATCGGAGCAGACGATGAGGCACTAGAGGTACAAGAAGCTACTATGGCCGGATATCCACCTCCGCCGCCACCACCTCCTCCACCTCAGAGAGTTACTAGGGATCGTGACCTTACGCCATCGGATTCTGATACTGCGGAAATGCAACCTCTTATATCAGACAACCTGTATGCGAAAGCCAAGATGGAAATTCCGAAGACTCCACTGAATCTAGTAGAAAAAGAAATAGCAAAACCAGCTAGGTATTGGCTTGAAAGTCCTCCTGGTTATACCGACAGGGAATCAGTACCATTACATGAAGATTTGTGGCATAAGCTACGATTAGACTGGCTAATTTTATTTGATTTGAGGATGTGGAAAAAAGTTCGAGTCGATCTTCGTGAGCTCTACATCTCGACCGTGGTATCGATTCCTGAGTTCAAACGTGTGCTTGGTCTACGTTTTGCAGGTCTTTACACTACTCTCGCGCAACTTTACTTGATTGCCGACAGGGAACCAGATCATTCCATTATCAACATCTCTTTGCAAATGTTGACAACGCCATCGATCACTGCCGAAATCGTGGAAAGAGGGAATTTCTTAACCAATTTAATGGCAATTCTGTATACCTTCTTAACCACACGACAGGTTGGACATCCGTATGAAATATTCCCAAATGCCACATTATCTTTCGACTCAGGATCTGTGACCAACCGTCGAATGTACCATTTCTTCATGGATCTGAAATATCTGTTTGGTTCAGAGCACGTACAAGAAAAGTTACGCACAGAGGAGAGATACATGCTGCAGTTCTTGGACTTGGTCAAACTCCATCAAGGTATTTGTCCTAATGTCAGGGCTGTTGGCGAGCATGTGGAGTATGAAACGGATGCTTGGATTAGTGCGTCTCTAATAACCCGAGAAATCAATCGACTTTGTAGGCAATTCTCCGAGTCTTTTAAATGGACTCCTGGTGAATTGACGGATCCTGTTTGCAGGGCAATTCGAACCGCAGCAAAGGCGGTTATTCTTAACTCCTTGGGTACTGAGAGGAACCGTTTTACCCAGGCAGAAATTAAGGATGAAGTCAAATTCAAAAAGGTGGGTGATTATGAATTCGACACTACCGAACAGTCGAACAGTGTTATTCAGCATTCGGTAGTCAAGTTTGTAGTAGAGTCTCAACCTATTAGTTTCCACCATGCGCTCCACTATACTCTCTCTTGGCTCATCGAGTGCGGTAAAGGCATGCCCAGACAACAGCTTATCCGGCTACTCAGCTTTACTACCCAAGAACTTCTTCAAAAACCTAAATTCATGGGACAACGACTTATGCCTAGTCAAGTATACTCCCCAGAGGATCATTTAATGGCAGCCTTCGACTACCCCTTGCGAGTATGTGCATGGTTGGCGCAAATGAAGGCTAATATGTGGGTTCGAAACGGCATGAGTCTTCGTCACCAGCAGGGTACATACCGTGGAGTCACATTGCGGGATGTATCCCATCATCGAGATATATTTCTTCTTCAAACTGCTATGGTTGTATGTCCACCTGCTCGTATGCTGGTCTCGATTATCGACCGATTTGGTCTGGAGCAATGGATGAAAGGCTTGTATGAAGCTAAGTCAGATGGAGTCGATGATGGACAGATTCTCGATATCGCAGAGGATTTGATTCATCTTCTGATTGTCCTGATCAGTGATAGGACATCTTTGCTTTCAAGTGATGATGACCCTGGATCTCATGTAATGGCCATGCGTCGAGATATTACCCATGTCCTTTGCTTCAAACCACTATCATTCACGGAGATTTGTGGCAAGCTACCAGATAAATTTCAAGACCAGGAAGAGTGCCAAGATATTCTGGACGAGATGACGAATTTCAAGCCGCCTGAAGGTCTATCTGATGTTGGGACTTTTGAGCTGAAAGAGCAATATTTGGAAGACATCGATCCCTACATTGCTCATTACAATAAGAACCAAAGAGAGGAGTCCGAAAATACTTACAAGGCTTGGATGGCAAAGAAGACAGGTAGATCACCTGCCGAAATTGTCTTTGAGCCGAAGTTGCGCCCTATTGAGTCAGGCGCCTTTTCGGATCTAGCTGCTTTTACACGAACGGGTATCTTTGCTCAGATCATTTACTATGCACTGTTATATCCGTTGATGGCGAATAAGCTAACGCCAGCTGTACCTGTAACCCGAGTAGAGGCATTCTTGCATGTAGTTCTACATCTAGTTCTCATTGCCGTATCAGAAGATAAGACAGACGAAGATGAGATGTCCGAAGAGTCCCTCGAGTCGTTCATTTATATTGCACTCACAAGCAACGCACGAAGCAACTTCTCGCCAAGTGCTCCAGCATCGAAGACAATAGTTGCTATTCTGGAAATGCTGTCACGAAAAGAGGAGTTTAAAACTTGCCATCCGAAGATTACTTTGGTATTGAAGAGAATGAAGCAAAAGCGACCTAGAAATTTCGAAACTGCATTTTCAAGATTGGGCGTTCCGGTCGATAGGATATCTACAGCTTCGCCTGCAAACAACAATGCGCTGGAAGATAAGGAAAAGAAAAAGCAAGCTGCCTTGGAACGTCAAAAGAAGGTCATGGCACAATTTCAACAACAGCAGAAAAATTTCCTTGATAATCAGGGAGATATTGACTGGGGTGAGGATGATATAAGTGATTCAGATGTGGAATCTGAAGGCGAGAGCTCGAAGAGTTATTACCAATACCCTTCCGGAACTTTGTATCCTTTGCCAAGAAGAAATCGAAAGATGGTCGTCTCTACGGAACATTTGCTTTGATGACTCCGTAGTTCGGTCTTACGTCAAACAGACATGTCTGACCCTGACTTTGTTCGGGAAGTTACAAATGTTCCCTCGAATTTAGATAAGTCTGCGGAAGACATTCGACCATTTGGAGTTTCTGGTGAAAATAAGGAACAGGTTCATAAAGTAACTTCTAGTGGTGTCGAGATTGTCACAGAACGTTCCTTTATTGGCAAAGGATTTCCTTCCAGTTTTACAAATCCTGGCCCAGTGTCTGTTGGATGTGGACATATCATGCATTACAAGTGTTTTGAAGTCTACAATGAAGCCTCAAATAGACGGCATCAGCATCAAATTGCTCGACATCATCCGGAGAAGCTTGAACTGAATGAATTTGTCTGTCCGCTCTGTAAAGCTCTGGGAAATTCCTTCTTGCCGATTATTTGGTCTCCAAAGGAAGAGATTCACGTTGGCCCTCTTAAACCAGCAGATACTTTTGACAACTGGGTCGAAAGATTTGCTGGCGCCTTTCAACATCCTAGAGACGAGAAAATCAATCAAATAGGTAGCGCTCACAACTATGATCACAAGGCCGACTTTCCTGCAAGCCGACGAACTATGCAATTCTTCAAAAAGCACAATGAAGAGACTATGGCCGGTCCTTTGGTATCCAAGATGCCTGAATTATTAATGGATGCTTGGGATCCACCGTCGCCGAGTCATTGGTCATCATTCACGCCAAGTAGCATGCGAGCTGCTCTTCCACCAGACATTGCGAACGCTATTTGGGCCGAAACTTCTCCCCTTTCTAGTGATAGATCATCTAACACAGGCTCTTCTGTGCGAGAATTGACTGATATATATCGAAGGCTTCGAGATACTCTGACGAAGAATGGATTGACCAGTAGACATACTCAAAAACTTTCACAGAATGAAGAGAGAGACTTCCGTTCCAGTGATGTATTGGCGCAAGCCTTGGGATTTTCCATCTCTGCGGCTGAGATCCAGCAGCGTGGTGTAGCAACATTACCCGGACAGACTTTCTTGGAGAGCATTCCGCAGCAAGCTCTCACTCACCTTCGAATATTATCCGATACCGCGTTGTCTTACGTTACGGTCGGTGGACTTAAACTTGCTGGAGATAACAGGGTCGCTAGAGAATTTAGTACGGACTATGAGCTACAATACCAGCGATTGTTCCGGAAACCGGCATATTCTTCTTCATCCGAAACCTCATTGGACTCTGATCCCTTACTTTGTCAAGACACCTTTATTTTCTTGGCAGGAGCCTCCTTGTGCCTTGCGGCTGTTGACGATATTGAAATCATTCATCTTGTCCGTCTTTGCTATTTGGCGGAGATGACGAAGGTTGTCCTCCAATTAGGACGACATATGGACAAATCAAAATGGTTCGATATGATTGAGCTCTATAGACAAGAAGGGCTTGACAATTTCGGAGAATTCTGTCTTCACGTCCGACTATCTGATGCCGACGATGTTCAGTGTCCGGATTCTACAAGTCTACATGGTTTCAATACTCTGCGAGATTGTCGTACCTTCGTACAGAAGTATGCACTAGTATTCCTCAGAAAGGTCATGATTCTTTTGAATGTTCGTTATGGTATTGTTTTCCAAAACTATGTTTCATCTAATTCGGAAACGGATGAGCTCGATCGCCTAACTGAGGCACTCTGTTTGCCGACCTTTAGTGAGATGTTCTCCCACTTTGGCAAGGAAGAGGGAACAATCTCGCACTTAGTTAATCATTGGATCAAGCATGCTAATCTAATGAACCTTGCTATGGTCATGACTACCATGGAAAATTCGATGACGACTTATACCGGCGATATAAAGCCTGAACTTATAGGTCCAACACCAGAGATCATTGATATCATCAGTCAGCTTCGCAACGAGGAATTGGATGTATTGCAGACGACAGTCCGTATTATTAACAGTTTCAATAATATGAGGTTAAGGCTCAGCCACCCTACTATTTTTGAGCTCATCGGCCTTCCAAAGAATTACGATACTCTTATGGAGGAAACTATGAAGAGACGCTGTCCCAATAGCAAGAGAGATATACAGGATCCGATGCTTTGTCTTTTCTGTGGTGCAATCTTCTGTGGGCAGAGTATCTGTTGTTCGAGAGATGGTCCGGAGAAACCTAATGGTGGCCCAAGGGATAAAATTGGTGGTGGTCAACAACATATGCTTAAGTATATCTTCCCTCTCCTTTCTCTTTTCCTCACATAACTAACAATCGCAAAACAGATGTCAAAAGAACACTGCGCTCTTCCTCAATATCCGCAAATGCTGTATCTTCTACCTTTATCGCACCTCGGGCTCGTGGATGGTGGCACCGTATATCGATAAATATGGAGAGGTGGATCCGGGACTGAGACATAGTCGCCAACTATTCTTGAATCAGAAGAGGTATGATGCGCTTTTGAGGACGGTGTGGTTGAATCATGGGATTCCGAGTGTTATTAGTAGGAAGCTGGAGATGGATATCAATAATGGGGGATGGGAGACTATCTGATGTAGGAGGGACATGAACTACGAAGGATTGTTGGGGAGAAAGGATGAAGGATCGAGATTTAGATGTGTTGATTTTTTTGATTTTTTTTATTCTTTTTTTTTTTTCGCAAGGCGTTCGGGGTGTTGGTGCTTTAGAGAAGTTAGGTTTTATGAGGTCATATTTTTTTTAATCTTTGCTAGTATAGTTTAAGAATGGACTGGGATGTAGTTGATTGAATGGAATAAATTTATTGTGACCAAAAGGGTGTTTATAGACCAGCAATTGTATTTAACTTAGAATCTACAGGTGAAGAGCACCTGTAGATGGGGATAGCTACTCTATATATACACAAATGAATGGCCTAGCCGCAATGGCTAGGCAAAAAGAAGTCATATTTATTCCTCCAATGATCTTACTTTACCGATAACCATTGATACCTAGTACTTGTCCGGATCTGATCCTCAGGTCACCTAAATCGCATACTAATCTCGAGTAATCGTATCATGTGTGGACATGGTTAATGTACCTGAGGTTTCTTATATAATAAAGGTGGGAGGAAAGCAGGGATTTCCGTCACATTTATGAACATGAATGTGAATATGAATATGTATATAAAGACGAGAATGATGTATTAAATAAAGTGTATGATTTTATATTATTTAATTCTTTTTTGATTGATTTATATATATATAATTCTTGTATTATTGACTAAGTGGATATATAATGTGTCGATTTCACTTTCTTAAGGGGAATGAAATAGATTGTAAGATTTGGGCTCACCGGGAGTGGCTCAGGGAGACGACATAAAGTGATTTTAATTAACCAGTCAAAAATCCAGCCACGTGATCGCGTGGACAGACGCGTTTTCCATTCGCCACATTGGCACGCAACTACATACTATGTGACCGCTATCGCAAAACAGCCTGAAAATGGCCAAACTACAAGCTGCTACTGTATCAAACAAAATAGTTCGGAAGCGCAAGCGGAAAGATGACGAAGATGCGGATTCGGACACGAACTCAACCAATTCCGTCAAATCCACGGTCGAGGTAGTTCAAGAAACTCCAGGCACAGCTGGCAGTAGAACTATTCCCACAAAAGAAACTGATGGTGGTAAAAAGCCAAGACGTGTATCGAAAGTTAGAGTTCCTCCTGCGCTCGCCCGAAACGAATCCTCTTCCACAAATCCAGTTACCAGTGCCATTCCATGGCCTTCATCCTTCCAGACCCTCGAAAAGACCCATCGAGCGTTGAACTTAGTCTACACATTCTGTTCCACTCGAAAGCATTTAGCTACTACATTCGATAATCTTAAGTCTGCTGTAGAGGGTCATATACAGCGAGAATTGAAAGTTGAGGATGTGGCGCAGATAGTGGCGTTGCGTCCGGGAGGAATGAATTTCGTCTATGTTGATGAGGCGATACTGCAATTGGATGTTAGGGGTGCAGAGAGAGATGAGACTTTTAAAGGCGGGAGAGTTAAGAATTGGTATGCTGCTGGCCCGGCGCCGGATGCTTCTGTAGGTGGGCTTACAGGGGCCGAGGGATTGGGGTATGGAGAGGGGGGAAATGAGAAGGGCAAGGAAGTCCTGTTGTTTGAGTTCATAGATGGAGATTTGAAGAGACAAGTTCAAAGTAAGAAGACAGGTGAAGCAGTAAAGGCATCCAGGAAACTAAAGGATGAGGAATTAAAGATGCCGGTTTTCAGTCAAAAACAGATGATGGGTTTAATCGAGAAGAGGAATACAAAGTTTGTCAGTGCAATCAATGCATTTCTTAATCGTTGCGATGCAGATGGTATTGATGCGGAAGAGACTTTACTCAAGGAGGCCGAGCCATTGAATCCTATCCCATCGCTTTCGAGAAGTAGTACACCAAAACCCGATTACAGCACTTTACCAAAGAACATACCCAAAGAACGAGCAAGTATATCAGAAATCATAAAAGAAATTAAAGAAAGCGAATGGTATACTGGTCAAATCGTACCTGATGGTCATCGAGTGTTCGATCCTCAAGAAGCTATATATGGAGATTTGAATTTTGTTCTCAGTCAAAATCTCGTCAATGCTTTGTACAATACCAAGAACATCACGCAGTTTTATACTCACCAAGCTGAAGCTATAAACAACCTTCACGATGGTCATAATGTCATTGTGGCGACTTCAACTAGTTCTGGCAAGTCCTTGATTTACCAGATTCCCGTCCTACATGAACTCGAGAAAGATCCTCATTCTAGAGCAATGCGATATTTCCAACCAAAGCTCTAGCACAAGATCAGAGGAGAAGTTTGAAAGAGATGATGAGGTTTATGACCGGACTCTGAGGAAGCTATTGTGGAGACTTTTGACGGAGATACAGATATGAAAGATCGGAATCTAATACGCGATGAGATCTAGAATCATATTTACGAATGAAGATATGTTGCACATCACTATCTCACAGAGACAGTGCGACTTCTGAGATCTCAGTAGTAGTGTGATGAATCATGTCTATATGACTGTTGCTCTCATGTAGCATTCATCATGAGACGTCTAAGAAGGATATGTGCGCATAGCATCGTCATATTAAGTTTATCTCTTGCTCTGCCACGGTGGCAAACCCAATGGAGCATTTTAAAACGATCTTCGGGATTGATAATGTACGGATGACTGATTTTGATGGTTCTCCTTCTGGTCGGAAAGAGTTTCTTTGTTGGAATACGCCCTTTAAGGATCCTGTAGACCCTGCCAGCGGTCGTGGTGATACACGAGCCGAAGCTGCAAGATTATTTTGCCAGTTGATACTACGCGGTGTTCGGGTCATAGCTTTCTGTCGCGTTCGGAGACAATGTGAGGCTTTGGTTGGTGCGGTGAAAGAGGAGCTGGCAACTCTGGGACGTCCTGAATGTATGGCTCGCGTAATGGGCTATCGTGGTGGATACACACCACAAGACAGAAGACGAATCGAGAGTGAAATGTTTGAGGGGAAGTTAATGGGTATTATTGCAACTACTGCTCTGGAGCTTGGTGTAGATATTGGATCTTTGGATGCTGTTCTGACCGTTGGCTTCCCATATACGATTGCGAATCTGCGACAACAAAGTGGACGGGCTGGACGGAGAAATAAGGATTCCTTGTCAGTATTGATTGGTGATTGTTTCCCTAGTGATCAGTATTACATGAATAATCCGGATGAAATCTTCACCAAACCAAATTGCGAACTACAAGTCGATCTGCAAAATATGCTGGTACTCGAGGGTCATGTTCAATGTGCAGCTTACGAGATGCCAATTCGTCCAGATGAGGATGCGATTTATTTTCGAAAGAATCTGGCCGAGGTTGCAGAAGAGCGACTGGTGAAGGATGGACTTGGCTTTTACCACTGCAGCGAACGATATAGACCTACTCCATCGAAATTAGTTGCGATTCGCGATACTGAAGAAGATCATTTTGCTATTATCGATATCAGTCATGGTAAAAATATTGTTTTGGAAGAACTAGAGGCTTCGCGAGCATTCTTCACACTTTACGATGGCGGTATCTTCCTTCATCAGGGAAACACATATCTTGTTAAAGAGTTCTTGCCTGAGCGAAAAATCGCCAAGGTTGAACTTGTCAAAGTCGATTGGACAACCCAACAGCGCGATTACACTGATATAGATCCCATTGAAACCGAAGCTATCCGACGCATTCCCAATTCCCTCTCTCGTGCATTCTTCGGCGCAATCAAGATCCAACAAAACGTCTTCGGATTCTTCAAACTCGACAAGAAGAGACGTATTCTCGACGCTATTCAAGTGGATAATCCGCCAATTATCCTCTACAGTAAAGGAATGTGGCTCGATGTTCCTAAAATAGCTCTTGAGATTCTCGTTCAAAAACGTCTCAATATCGCTGGTGCTATTCATGCAGCTGAACATGCAGTCTTATCACTCATGCCAAATTTCGTAATAAGTATGCCGGGAGATGTCCGCACAGAATGTAAAGCCGGCACTAAAGAATTCGCTCAAAAAGAAACATCTCGGAAACGACCTGCTCGTCTCACATTCTATGATGCGAAAGGCGGAGCTTCAGGATCGGGTATTAGTACTAAAGCTTTCGAATTCATTGATCTCTTGTTAAAACAGGCTTTGAGGAGAATAGAGGGTTGTCATTGTTATGAGGGATGTGTAGAGTGTGTTGCGAGTGAAAATTGTAAACATGCTAATGAGGTTATGAGTAAAGCTGGTAGTGAAGTTATCTTGAAGAGTTTTGCTGGGTTTGGAAATTGATGTTGATTCGTTGCCGATGGGGGCCGGAGGATCAGAGTGATGCGGGGGATTGAGACGGTGATTTTGGCCGGAAGTGGTTTAGTGGGAGGGGGAGATTAGATGGCTTTGGGGAGGGGGACTGGGATGGGGATGAGAATAGGGAGGTGAGGGTTAAAGATGAGCCTGTAGATTGACGGATGGGAACAAGAAAGAGGGCTGGAGATTGTTTTAATTCTCATGAATTTGATGGGTGGTTGGGGTGTATGATATGGTGTATTGTATTATGGATGACTTCAATGAGTGTATATAAGAATGATATGCAATCGATCAAAAGTCCGATACCATGGTCCCCCTCCATCTCATGAGCGTTCATCTGATTGTGCTCTTACTATAAATTTTTTATGATGGCATAGACGACCCGTAACAACATATCGACTGTCGATAGTTTACAATTCAAAAACCAGAGTAATAGAATATGCATGGGAATTGAAGAGAATTGGGCCTTCGGGGTACAGGGGAATAGGTAAAGATATCAAGGGAATTAGAAACCTTGCTGATCATCTCAATTTTTTAGTATTTGTCAGTCACCTTCCCAAAAGGCGCACTACTATGAGATCTTTTTGATAATCACCACCGGATCCGTGTTTTTTGCTTACATCAATGTCCTATCTGCGGATATACCTTTTCGACTGCGAATATTACTTCCAAAGATTCCGAAGGTGTTGCGCGATTTAGAACTAGTAAACTCCGCAGAGGGTATTCGTCTGAGTGTAGTATACAATGCACATAGTATTGCCAAATTTTCTCTAGAACATCAAAGTCGAAGAATACTTCAACTAGTTGTATATCATCCCATGAAAATAGCTTGAATAGGTAATGACTGAACTTGTTAGTCCTCATCCCTTTGCCATTAATACTATGCTTTATGCAAAACACCCATTGCTTTATCTCTACAAGTATCATTTGTTTAAATAGACCTGCAATATAATTATGATTTCATAGTCACGTTCTAGTACTATACACAACTGCAGTGTGTGGTATGATAAATGCATATAATTTTGCATTTTCCCGAGGCCTAAACTAGTCTTACCTTGGTATTTCATCATACTTCTACCTAGTGGTAAAATTCAAGAATCCGGACCTGGCATCCGGAGTCATTCTATTCGAGTGAATAAGTCATGAAATTTTTGAACTGACCTGATTATTCGCTTAAATCTTGCTTGAGTCCAGTGGTGGATTTACGAATTCGCAACCAATACTATTGTGTAAATTTGTGATAAATATGAGACTTTTGGACATTTGAATTTGTTTGTTGAAGTGTCAAAATTGAATATGATATCATAGAGCAAATTGGGATATGTACGTTTAGGCAACTAAATTGACAGTATCATTTCTCCTACATGTGGCTTTTGTGAATTTTGAACAACCCTTGATGGAAGAATAGGGAGAATGAGGTTTTTTAAAAACCAATTAACCCCCATAGCCTAATATTCAAGAATCAGTAGAAAAGTCTAGTGTTCAGAGGATGGAAAAGAAAAGCACTTCCCTTACAGCGATCGAGAAATCTGCTTGCCAATAGCTTTCCCTCTAGACTGTTGAAAATTTTCTGGAAACCAATATCATGCCATTCATATACAAAGAATCATGTTTTAGATTATTGAATATAATTGGGCTGAGAATAAGATTTGTAAGATATATTTTAACTTTCCAATAATGCCGTCATTCTCACTTCGAGGTCCATTGTAGCATCTAATCTCGTTCATAGTCCATACAAAAATAACCAGGAGCTTCTATCACCCCATTCAGATTTTGTCGCTTCTTATCTTGCTAAAGTTTACTTGCTCAATTTTACTTATTCTTCTTCAAGTCGGACCTTTTTAATCTGTTTACTAAACCGAGAATAACCATGTATATTTATGATTCGCTTATCACTCTGTTTCATCAGATATACGAACCTATATTGAATAAACAATATAGAAATTCCGGAACTTGCCTTTCCTGATGAATAATGTAAATACATTCACTATTTGTATATCTGCTGTGGTTAATTTTGTTTTATTTCAGAACTAGACCTCTATCTAGTACTGCAAAGGCTGTGAGCTAGCGTCGCGCCACATCTTGCTCCGAGATTTATACCCTTTTTTCATCTATATCTGTTTTGCTTCTTCCCTCCTCCATCTGACATTCATTTATCCTTAAAACCCTCCTCCAAATTTCCTTTGTACATTCATTTAATTTAAACAAATTTTCTCGGCCTCCCTTCTATTCAATAAGTCAAAACAACTTTGACCTCTTCCTTTTCTAGTTAGAAATTCTACAGCAATATATCTAACAGTTTAAAGGAAGATTTTTTTGCTTGTAATCTTTCATTGATACAAGCACCTTCTCTCAAAATCATTCTTTTTTCTCTTTCCCAAACAAACTCAACATCACTCAGAAATAGTGAGCCTTATTTGAAAATGGATATTACTGTTGGAAAGTCCTGGTACAATGTGCCCAAGGATTCCACTTCTTCCTTAGGAAATGAAAAAGAAAAAGGAAGAAGAGTGCTGGGTACTCGGTCAAAGGTTTCTATAGCCAATGGTACATCTCCCTTTTTTATAGACCCCATCTTTGATAAATATAGCTGCTAACTTCAATCAAGATGCTTTTGGTGTTGAGATATACAATCCTACACCTTCTAGGCTAGGAAAATTTCATGTCCAACATCTTGAAGGTCTAGCAAGTGAAGCAGAACATGACCAAGACAAAAAAGACCAGGTTGAAGAGGACCAGAATGAAAAAAATGACGAGATCGAACAAATTCATTCCAAGATCACCAAAGATGGCCATAATTGGGGCCGTCAATTTCCAATGGAAGTTTCACTCGATGAATCAATGAAGACACAATGTCCTCCAAAGCGCTCTCGGTGGATGGATATGTTCGAGTCTCGTCATCGAATGGCAGCCCAGGCCAATGTCACCACCCCCCACCAAAAGAACCCGCCAGCCCGCTTCTTCGAAAATGCGGCTCAAAAGTTGTCACCGTTGAAGACTTTTTCTACTCCCACGGCGAGCACTAATAGTTCTTCGAACTCAAAGTCCCTACCGAGGAGGAAGACACCCAGTTCCGATGACTCCAAATTGTTTCGAGCATTTTTGAGTCGTGGTGATGAAACAGTTCCTTTGTTCATATCTCCCACCGGCACACATCAACAGTTTTTTCAGTCTAGCTTAAATCGTCCGCGCCCACACCGTCCACATGCATCGGGTAATTTTGCTATGGGTGACGCTGCAAATCTTCGTCGTACTTTCACGAATCCAATTATTTCTGGGCCTTACCACTCACAGCGGGCCAGTAATAGCTCTTCAATTACTGGAAGACCCATGAGTACTTCTCAAGCCTCGAGATCGGTGACTGGAAGAACAAGTAGCAGTCACTCATCAGACATCACCGATGACATGCGGAGCTCTATGGACAGAAGTTTCGATTCCTGCTCCCAGCTAACTGATCACACTCGAATGACTTCTATTAGCGGTAGCTTTAGCTTTCAACCAGTCATTCCTGAGGATCAACAGGTCATTCTTGGTAGCACCATGAGCCCACTCCATCCATCGAAGAGTTTTGACCAGGTATGCGCCGAAACACTTCCGCAGCACAAGACCTTCCCGAATCAGGGTACTGCTTTTGCATCGACTACTCCATTTGCTCCTCTACCTGCACCAGTGGTTATAAGCAACATGGTAGCTCTTATTCCTGATCTTTCACACTTGGTGAAGAAGTTCCGCCCAACCGACATGCTTCTTCGCGAACAAGGCATGATACCCGATAACTCTCGTCAGGACACAAACTACGAGGGAGATGAAAACCATCCTGACTTGCTAGATCTTCCTGACAGCATCAATTGCTGCATGTGGATCATCAACATTCCAAAAGAAGTCCAGTATGGTGAGTTTATGCGCATTCTCGATTGCGGTGCCGTCGCTGCACTCTCGATGGTCCCACCTCAGAATGGACACATCACGCAGGCTGCAAAAGCCACATTTAAGAAGGTCTCTGGTGGTGCTGAGCTTTATCGTCGTGCTCGTCACAGAGGAGGTCTTCATATTCGCAACCGCAAGATCAAGGTCTGGTACAATGATTACGGTGCATACGAATGGAAGGGCCCCGAGACACGTTTTCTGGAAATTGAGGCGCCGGCTGTCCTTGACGAGAACTTTTGGCACGGTTACTTTAACACCTGGTGTAAGTACACCATCATCTCGGTCACTCCACTTCCTTGCATGAAATATGGCTTTGCTTCTACTAGGTTCGAATTTGTACGAATTGCAGGTCAGGCGCAGACTTGCTTTCAAGCAATCCAAAAAGACGAGGCGTTTTTGGGACAGGTCAAAGTCCAATATGGAACTGACCCTGATGAGTTTTAGTGCATTACACTGCTCAGATGTGGGTAGATAGACAAACATGTGGGTTTATGGGTTTTTTGAGGGGAGATTTTAGGCGTTATGGGCGGAGGTTAATGGGTGTGGGTATTACGTCAGTGGAAACTAATGGATATTGCTGGTAAAAATTCTAATACCGATTGCTTGAAGAAGTTGGGTTTCAAGCTTTTCGTGACATACGATAGAACAGGAGCTAGTTCTCCATCTCAACAATAAGTAACGGCGTTCTTTGCAACAGTAACCTTCGTAAGGAGATCTCCAGAACAGCTATGCTCAGAACAGCAGATCATTGTGATGACATGTTGTACATCTGCAAGGTGCACCATATAAACAATTCCGGTACCTGCATTCAGAGCAACATGTAAGACTTACAACCCCGGTATACTCCAGCTTTATAGTCTTCCAGTATGACGATGTCAAATTTCAGCATTCCAATGACAATGAGAGGAGCGTAAAACTCCATCGCATCTATGTAGTCATTATAATCCAATCTCTGCCCTTTTTCTACCCAGGGGATTTTCTCACAGAGCAACGGAGCTATCAGTTAAATTTCTAAGCCCCCCTCCTTCCAAACATAAAAGGGGAAAAAAATGGAAACTAATTGAGATATTCCTCGTATACGTACTAGGTAGCCATAGATGTAGAACTAGATACAGAAATCAAAGAACATAACTTAGAAAATCTATTTTTACAGCGATTACGATTAAATTTGAACTAAAACATCAATAAACAAACAATTCGAACTAATCCATCTTTGAAGATATCTAATATACATTTAGACAGATTTTGTTCGTATTATCACCCTTTTAGTCCAGGGGAAACCAGTTTTAGATAGGATCAACTATAGGATCTTTCCCAGGATTCAACCCAGGGAAGTTCTCTTACCATCTGTTTTTTCTAGCCGTTATCAGCTAAAATAAAGAATACTTTAATTTCATTACTTTTACTTCCTCTCACTTCATAAAAAGTATCCTCAAATCATATAAAATAAGGGAATAAGTAAAACACTTCATAGAGAATGCTTAATGCATACAAATAAAAGCGCTGATGTACTAATTATCACACATGATATTCCTCATTCCGTTGGGACTATCTATCCAATACTGGTTTCAGTACAAGTCTACTTTACTACCAGTTTTATGCCAGAGCTTGGGATACTCAATTTTCCTCCCTTGTGGCACTAAGGAAGTGAACATTCAGAATTCCTAGGATAGATTTTCTACAATATTATTTCACTTCATTTACCAGAGGAACTTCTACTCTTCACACAACTTACTGCATCTATTTTCAAAATCTATCTTCTTACCAAGAATTTATAGATATTAACTTCATACCATCAACTAATCTCCAATAGTTAATTCCTCAATAACTAAAACGAAAGACCATTTCAAACTCAAAGACAAGGCAGGTATTCCTAGAAATATGTTTTTCTTTACATATGATTCCCCCTGACGCCCCCAATCACACTACTTATCCGCATAATACATCCAATATAGATGCACCGCATCATCTCAAGAATACAATACCTCGACACACTCATCCCCAAACCCTTCACAGCATAACAGAAATAAATGCAGAACTCAAAAAACCCCAAGAAACTAAGCCCTATTACACAGCCCAATTCCAAATAGCGCCATCAAAGAGACTCCAACATCGAAAAAGTTCATTCATTCCACCCGAAGAGAAATCCCAAACATTCTCCAGTAATTACAAAGGCAATCCAGGAGCCGGCATCCAAGGTCTCCCCACCATCTAAATTGTGGTCTCTGGTTAAAGAACCTCCGAGCTGATATCCAAACTCATGAATTATTCGAACAAATACACACTGGTGCCGTTTCCGCATTTGAAATAAGCCGCCCACAAGGTATCTACGTCATATCATGTCTGCAGCAAAACTAGTATTTAAGTATCCCGAAGCCAGCCACACAGTTTACACACTTATGCGAAAGTAACAGAGGTATTTGTATGAGGGGATGTAGGATTAAAAAATACTTTAACATGTTTGGATATCGTCGATATTGATATAGGTAGGAATAGGCAGAAGAAGTGCACGCTACGTATCGCAGGACCGCCAGAGTATACAATTTATGAGTACCTATTTAAAGCCGTATTTTGAGAGTTTTTGTGATTCTTAGTTGTTGGAGTGGGATTTTTCTCCTTCGCAGATTCCTGGTTATCGGGAATTGGGTTTAGGTTTTGTGAGGATTAATAAATAGACTATACAGTATTTTTATAATTTGATGGCTCATCAGGTTTATAGGAGGTATTTGACATTTGAACATGTACCAGATATTTGTAGTGCGTTGTTTCAATAAGTGTCATTTACTCGGAAGGGTTAGCCTGAAATGAATATATGGTGTTTGGGTATGAAATTCGGACTGTATGTAGGTAGTTTTGAGGGAGGGAAGTGACGGTAATCTTAGCATGAAATGGGACAAGAACGTCCACATATTCGACATAAAAAATTACAATCTCTTCTCCTTGGAGGCCAAAGTCATTAATTTGAAGCAACGCAATATATCTAGCAACAACAGTTAAAATACGTATTCCCAAACCTTTTGATGAACAACCTCCCGCATCTAACGACCTAAACAAAGAAAGCCATACACCTAATCATCCTCAAACTTTACAACTAACCAAATAAAAATCATCTACCAATCCAAATTTCGCCTCGCAAGTTTTATAATTCCCTGGTGCTCTCATCATAGATCGAAGACCCAAAAAAAATGCCCTTGTGAACCCTACTCAGGGGTTATCATTACCGTAGCGAAAAATTATCTTGGCATATTTAGATAAATATCTAGTCATGACGTAATCTAGAGAAATATTCGTGTGAATACAGTTTTTCTGGAATCCAATGACTCTGGGGATATATAAAATACTTAAATCTTGGCTTTTGACTTGATTTTTATAATGTTTTTTGTTATATTTTTTTTATGAATTCGTTACACATACATCCTTGTCACAACTACGGGACTAGAGCCTTTTTTTTTCCATCATATATCAAACTTTTCAAGCCTCTTTTCAGAACTTAACTATAGTTCCTACATCCAAATTCCCCACCCTAAATTCCTTGACATACTACCCTCACCTCTATCATCCACTTAAAGCACACCTCCTTCTCCTACCCAAAATATATCTAATAATCAAATCCTAATCCTATCATTGCCCCCAACATAGACTCCTCAACAAGGCAAATCATATAACTCTTCCCACCAACCAACCGACCGAATAGTTCCATCAACTAATAATAACCCTACACTAGTACTCCCAATCTCAACCAAGTCTTTAATAATTAGAGACTGCAACAATAAATTAAACTAGTATATCTCTGGTATGGTGAGTTGTATTAAATACTATTCTCATGATAGATCTCGAC